CTCTATTTTTCTCGCCTAGCTCATTCAATTGTTCTAGGCATCTCCAGACCATTTTTGATCTGATTACATAAGAGCTCAGCGCTTTGATGGCTGCTTGAGTATCGGACACGATGATAATCTCTTGTCTATGATAGTTTCTCTCGATGTTAAACTGGATACACTTCTCGATGGCGTGAATTTCCGCCTGGAAGATGCTTGGGTATTTTCCCAAGCTTTCGGAGTGCTTGGTTCTCGGCCCATACACTCCTATTCCAGTTCCTTCTATGGTTTTGAAACCGTCCGTATACCACTGAATAGCACGTCTTTCGGTTGCAAGCGTGATGGATTCTTGGTTCCATTCTTTCTTGCAGCCCAGCTCTGTGGTTTTTAAGTTTTTTACAAAACTGTACTTCTTTTGCATTTCATCCTAAAGCATGTCCCAGGTATCTTTAGTCCTGAAGCAAGTAGACTTTCGTCTGATTACTCCGTTCCTGATCATTCTATTTTGTAACCAACCATATATAGGGTAAATTTCGCAGTCTTGGTGTGTTTTAATTTCAATTCGAATTTGATAGTGAATAATCCTGACTTGTGTATTTTTTGTACTTTTTTTGTGTGTGTTGCTCAGTATGAATTTGTCATATTTAGTTTAATAATTATTGTTATTACTTTAATAGCAACATGTAATTAGGCTACGCCTATTTGTTTCTTAAATAAATAAACAATGCGGAAAAATGCTGCTTGGTATAATTTTGTTTAAGGTGAAAAAATATGGAGTAATTATACTATAAATTGGTATACAGGGTGTCCCAAATTAGACGGTCATATTTTAACATCGTAATCTACATCCTAAAATAGGAGTAAAAGTTTATATAAACAAAGGTCCGAAAACGTTTCTTTTTCGAGATACAGGGTGTTAAAAGTGAAGTCCTAATGACACATTTTTGTAAATATTTTCTAAACGCTTAAAGATAACTAAATGAAATTTGGTACCTTTTTACGCTCTATGTAATGGACTAAATCTTAGTTTTTGATCATCTTCATAGGTGGGTAAATTAGGGGGGGGGGCTTAAGGTAAAATTGCCCTAAGTTTTTTTGTTGTCAGTTTTTAACATTTTTGACTAAAAAATTTGGAAACCCAATGTATTCTTTACAATAAAGCTACTCTTGCTGCATCTCGCTAGGACGCACCATTTTCAAGAGAAACGCATTTGAAAATTTCGTGATAAATTCATATTATCTTATTCGAAAGTGCAAACAAAAATTAGTAGGCCTGGAATCCAATAGCTGCTTTTCAATTTTTTGAGACGCTGTGATAAACAAAAATTGGCTGTCAATTGTGTAATTATTTGTACTTTTTTGCGTGAAAGAAAAATACTTCTATTAAATGGAGAGATTTTCAAATAGAGAATTGGCAGATATTCATTTTGTATATGGTTTGTGTAATGGAAGGGCCAGAGCAGCGGTTCGAGCATACCGTAGATGGTTTCCTACACCGAAGAATTCCTGACTACCGTGTATTTATTAATACACATAGAAATTTGGTTAACCATGGTTCATTTCAACGTGATCGTGGACAAGGGAGACCACATGGGAACAACAATTTGGAACACGCCCTTAATTTATTTGAAGAGGACCCAAGAAGGAGTATTCGAACTGTTTCCACCCTTTCAGAAATACCACGAGCAATAGTAAGTAATAATTACTTCCCTTTTTCTTTATACTATTTTGTTTTTATTGCTCAAATTTACAAGTACAAGTATTAGAAATTAAAAATTTAAACAAACCGACTTCAAAAACGTTCAAAATCGGACAAGGTGGTAAAGCATTATCGCTAAACATACATAAAAAATGAAGAGTTTGAGGATTTTCTCATGGACCCAATTATTAGATTTTGACCAAATTTATATGGGACTACTCCTGTAGTACCCCCTTTTTTATAAAAAAAAAATCATTAAAATCGGACACCGTGTTAAAGAATTATCGCTGAACATACATAAAAAAAATATCGCGACGAATTGAGAACCTCCTCCTTTTTTGAAGTCGGTTAAAAATAACACAAACAAGTTTCAGATTAAAGGCATTTTTAAATTCTTACTTTAGTTTACGTGTCTTTTAAAAAATATGTTCATTTAGGTTGGAAGAATGTTAAGAATGCACGGTATTCATCCCTATCATTATCAGCGTGTTCAAGCCTTAAGACCCCACGACTTTTTACCACGAATGGAGTTTAGTGAATGGATAAGAAACCATCAGGAACGGCTTCTTTTTATTATGTGGAGCGACGAGGCTACATTTAATAGAGATGGTGTTTTTAATATTCACAATCACCATTTTTATTCACAAGAAAATCCTCGGGTGGTGCGACGTCGATTTTTTCAAGATAGATTTTCTATTAATGTTTGGGCGGCAATAATCAATGACAGATTAATTGGGCCGATTGAAATTCCTGCTCGGTTAAATACAATTGATTATCTGAATTTTTTACAAACCCACCTTGAACCCATTCTGGATAATCTCCCATTAAATATTCGACATCAGCTGCACTTTCAGCACGACGAAGCGCCATCCCATTATGGCGTTAATGTGAGAAATTGGCTAAATGAAATATTTCCGGGTAGATGGATAGGAAGAGGTGGTCCCATACCGTGGCCACCTCGATCTCCGGATTTAAATCCATTAGATTATTACTTTTGGGGTCGTATAAAAGATATGGTATACGCTACAGAAGTTGACAGTGCGGAAGAGTTGCGTGAAAGGATACGTTTGGCAGGGAATGAAATACGGCAAAATAATTTTGAAGTAATGCGAGCTTCACATACATTTACCCGTAGTGCCGAAATGTGCCTTCGTCAGAAAGGCAACGTTTTTGAACACTTACTTTAAATGTTGTATAAATTGATATTTTTAGTAGAATTTTTGTTATTTTTAATAGAATTTTTGTTATTTTTAGTAGAATTTTTAGTAGTATAGACAAAAACAATTTTTGAGAATCATTTGTTTATCGTCGTCATTTTGACCTATTTTAAGTCATCCTTAGGAAAATAAAAGTAGATACTTCACGTTAAAAAGCTTAAAATTATTATCAAATAGCATTTGCAATAATTAAAAGTAGGTAACTAATGATTTCTTCTCTAACTCAGTCAAACTTCATATTTTCAAGAAATTACCAGCTATTCTTAATTTCAAATACAGTTTTGCTATAATTTTACTATATTTAACGTATCTGACTTATTTTTACCATCCTAAGATCCTAAGGATTACCCTACAAGAGTTTAAACGTCGGCAGTTAAAGAAATAAATTCTCATCAATCATTTTATTGGGCAAAAGCCAAACAAACCATTAAAAAAAAAACAATTGATTAGTTTAAGTTTAAATACTATTTAGTTTTACCATTTAAAGTTTCTTTATAAAATAAACATTAAATTAAAGCTAAATACATTTCTTTAGTCACCGGTTTTCCAAACCTGAAAAAAAATTCTGATTCCACAGGCCTGCTAATTATTGTTTGCACTATCGAATAAAACAATATGAACTTATCATAAACTTTTCAAATGCTTTTTTCTTGAAAATGGTGCGTCCAAATTTTTTAGTCAAAAATGTTAAAAACTGACAACAAAAAACTTAGGGCAATTTTACCTTAAGTCCCCCCTAATTTACCCATCTATGAAGATGATCAAAAACTAAGATTAAGTCCATTACATAGAGCGTAAAACGGTAAGCATTTGTACTAAATTTAATTTAGTTATCTTTAAGCGTTTAGAAAATATTTACAAAAATGTGTCATCAGGACTTCACTTTAAACACCCTGTATCTCGGAAAAAAAACGTTTTCGGACCTATGTTTATATAAACTTTTACTCCTATTTTAGGATTTAGATTACGCTGTTAAAATATGACCCTCTAATTTCGGGACACCCTGTATAGCTCAAGGCATCTTGGTATAATAATAAAATAACAATAATTCGTTTATAAAATTTTACATAAGTATAGAGTAGGTACACGGCTCTGTCACGAAATAGTGCTGAAAATAGCACTAAATGAAATAGCGGGTATCAAAAGAGCGCCTGAATAAAATAGTGGGCATCAAAAGAGCACCTGAACGAAATATCGCGTATCAAAAGAGAGTCAGTCAAAACAGCTAAACAAAATAGCGCTTTTTAAAATAGCGTCGGTCAAAATAGGGCCAAACAAATTTAACAAAATTATTAAAAAAAAAACTAATTATCCTAACCTGTGCGACCTGGAGTAATCGCGGCTTAATTCTCAAAAAAATATAGGTACATAAGAAATACCATTTTAAAATAACTAATTTACGTAACCTGTGCGTGAGCGATGATTTATTTTTAAATGGCTCCACGAAGTAACGAAGTAACCTGCAATGGTTACAGGCCGCACAGGTTATGTAAATTAGTTAAGTTTTTAGTTTTTTAAAAACAATAGTGCTATTTTGAAAAGCGATATTTCGTGCCAGGGCCATTTCGGTGTTTCAGTACTCACTATTTCAAAAGATATTTTATTAAGGCGCTGTTTCGTTTGGGTGCTGTTTCGACTGACACTATTTTATTCTGCGCTAGTTGATCAGACGCTTAAACAACATCGCTACTTTGATAAGCGGTATTTCGTGACAGAGAGCCAGAGTACACGTATACAAAATGAAATAAAATTTGTCCAACTTGTCACAAAACAAATAAAAAAAATAAATAAATAAAATAACCAAATAATTGAATAATTATTTAATTGATTTAACATTCATTTTTAATTAATTTTTTCCAAAATATAAAAATAAATGTTACGCTTTTTGTGAAATGTCACGAATGTCAGTCCAATGAAGAAAATATTTTTCAAAGATTGGTACTGACATGAGTTGGAATTTCAAAAAATTATAATATAGGTTCATTTTGGACACACGGAAAATCAATGATTACGTCCAACTAGATAGTAGGAAGTATGTAATAAAAATTTCAAAATTTAAAAATTTTGAATTTATTTTAATTTTAAATTGTTTTATTTACAATTAGTTTATAGAAACCATTATGGGAGAGATACCATGCTTCTTTTTCTCTGGTTGGATCATGAAGAAATTTGGATACACCAACATAATGTCGCTAATTCTATTATGTCTTGGAATAAGAATTTTTTTGTATTGTGTGATCCCGAATCCCTGGTGGTTTCTACCAGTTGAACTTATGAATGGTATTGATTTTGGATTATGTTTTTGTACTATGGCTTCTTACGCCAGCAGTATTGCCCCAGAAGGTACCGAATCTACTATGCAGGTGAGTTTATTAATAGGCAGAGAGGGTACTTGATTTTCTCATAATTTATGATATCCAAATACATACAAAGCTTTTAACTATTTTTAAATAGTTTTTTTTACCAATTTTGCAAAATCCTAATAATTAGAACTTATCTACTAAATATAGGGTTTTTTTTATTTTTAAATTCTGTGTGGTTAGAGAGCAAATCTAGATAATGTATTGAAAAAGCTAAAAATTAATGAGTATATATGACTGTAATTTTGTCCACTTCCAAATACTGAAAATATGTCAGTTTTGTTCCGTTATTATATATTTATTTTTAGAGCCGGTTACAAAAACGGTTATTAAAATTTATGAACCTTATAAACTGTAACAAATGTTTAGACTATTTGAAATTCATGTCATTCAGAAATAGCACATTCTCAAACTCTGTCAAAGTTTATCAGACTCATAAATTTTAATGAACGCTTTTGCAACCGGCTGATACATTTTTACGTTGACAACAATTGTTGCAATACTATAGCCTGAATAACTAGGACTGTTATTATTATTATTATTATTATTATTAATTATTATTATTATTATTATTATTATTATTATTATTATTATTATTATTATTATTATTATTATTTTTATTATTATTATTATTATTATTATTATTATTATTATTATTATTATTATTATTATTATTATTATTATTATTATTATTATTATTATTATTTTTTTTTTTTTTTTTTTTAATTTGGTGTCATCGGCGTCGACTACCACGGCCATTAGCCTCGTGTTCTGTGTAGGCTTTGTTACTGTTTCCCAGCGCCACTTTAGGAACAGCACTGTTAATTAGAACCCAACAGTGAATGGTCGAGTGGGGAATCCTACCTATGCATTAGAATTAATATTTAATTTTTTATTATTATTATTATTATTATTATTATTATTATTATTATTATTATTATTATTATTATTATTATTATTATTATTATTATTATTATTATTATTATTATTATTATTATTATTATTATTATTATTATTATTATTATTATTATTATTATTATTATTATTATTATTTATTATTATTTTTTTTAACATCCTAATTTTTATTGAATGTATTTTTTATATTTTAGAGTTTAGTTGGAGCCATTTATGAAGGAATTGGTATCGCCATAGGAAGTTCTGTTGCAGGAATATCATATAAGGAACATGGAGGAGTCAAAACTTTTAAATATTTTGCTTATTTTGCTTTAATTGCAGCTATTCTTCATGTCATTATTCAATATACCCTTAAATGTAAAAGTAAAAAAAAATTAGATAGTAAATAAATAAAATCATTTAATCCTACCTTATTAGCAGCGTATTATATTCTAACACATAGACTCTGACAGCATGACTAAAGAATAACTTTTAAAAAGTAGAAATTATTAAGTTAAACCATGCCTTGTGTGCGGAAATTTACAAATAATCTTTTATCTAAATGTATAACTTTAAAGATAGAAACGTCATTTAAAGAATGTTTTATTTTGTTTAAAAATTGCGAGATTATATTTATTTATCACTTGAAATTAACAAATTTTGAATATTGTTAAAATTATAACTGAGAACATAAATTAATTTAAACGAAAAAGATTAGATAATTGCTTTGAACTTGAGCTATTAAAAATTGAATAAATTGTCAAACTATTTAGAAAATGAACTTGAAGAAAAAAATAAAATTCTGACACGCCTATGCCTAGTCATTTTTAACCCCTTTAGAAAAATAAAATTGATTGTACACCTATGCTTAAAATATTTGATTAGAATGTTTAATTGAAAATTAATGTGATTTTAAAAACTGTGATAGTAAAATTTATATTGATAAAAGTACCTGTGTAGGTATTTCAATGAATGATTTATTGACCAATATAAAATAAAATATGAAGAAAAACTGTGTAAATAGTACAGGGGTTTGCGATTCCCCTAAAATTAATTAAAGTTAAAATCGATGGTCATAATTTCTTTGATTCTAAATTTTATAATAAAAGTAATTCAGCCACCGACCTTAATATTAAACTGAAAGGCCATATGACATAAACCCTACTCCTAATTACTAAGCCGACATGGGTGAAAAAAACGGTCGGTGCGCATGACAATTTGGACGCCAGACTGTCGATTACGAGCATTCTACGTCACGTTTCCCACGGGCGTACTACGACAAATTATATTATTTTTTATTAATAACGCGCTATTTTAATAATTATTAATATTGGAACATTTGTTTCAGCTGCGTATTAATCAAAAATCATTTTTAAGTGATTATCTTTTCTTAAAATAAAAGGTGTCATAGTTGAATGTAATAAGTGTTAAATTTAATTTTGATGATCATTTTTAGTTCATTTCGATACGCACATGTGGGCGCCGAAGTGTCAAATATCACCTCGCTATGCGGCTTGATTTTTTTGATCGCACATACTTTGATTATACGGTGCAAGAGAGAGGTCCGACACGCCCAACATAGGGCGCGGCCATTTTGAACCCTATGCCACAGTTTATAGCTAAAGAATCAGATCGCTCACTCTGCGTCGGCACTTTTGATCTCAACGTTCCAGTTTATACACTGCGCAACTTGGATAATACAATATATGACAACCGCCTATAATAAAACAACAGTCTTCTGCGTATCCTGGATTTGTATCCCTGGAGTGGATGTTATTTTGGAACTTTCAACTGGTCCGAGTGAGCTAACTGATTATTTAGCAATAAACTGTGACTCCAAAAATTAGGCATTCCAACGACCTGTCCAAATGGCTACCAGTGGGTAATGACAGTTTAGATATGGCAACCCTGTTGTCATGTTGTCATTAACAGGGTCAATGATACATATATAGTTATACAGATTGCTCAATGCTGGTCGTTTACGAGCGGCCATATTGCCTGGCAAATACTTATTAATTTGAATCGGATTAGCAAAAATGTGTTTTAAAACCAATTTTTAGCCTTTAGATATTTAAAAAAAAATAATTGCTTACATTTTTACTTCAAGGCATACGCTTATATTTATTTTGAAAAATATGGATAATCAATCTATGTAACTATCTATTTCATTGACCTTGTCAAATCACCAGGCCTACAGGGTTGCCATAATTTTGCTATATCATAACCCGTCAAAACCCACTGGTAGCCATTCAGTTTGGAATGCCTAATAATATTCACTGACACAAAGTATGTGACTGACACTGACAGCAGCAAGCAAAATATCAGGTGCGTTTTAATCATCCGCTTCTGCTTCCGGAATTGTCGGTTTAGTCGTTTTAACCTGTCAGATTAAAACAAGAAAACCGACAATTCTGAAGCAGAAGCGGATGATTAAAACGCACCTATTAAAAATATTGCGCCAAGATGTAGGCAACACGTAATAAGGGTTCAAAATGGCGGAGTTTTCTATCTCCTTTTAAAAGGCACTCAGAAAGCTGCGCAGTGCGACCATACTCGGTATAGTAAAAGAAAATCAAAGTATGTGATCCGATGTGGATTCTCAAACGCGGCAATAGCACATACATTAGAAGTATGTGAGCATTGGCAACACAGGAAGGAAAGATTGACAACACTGCAAGTAAAAATGAACATTTCAAACGTCAATAAATAGTGTCATTTGTCGTTAATGTCATTTGTGTTGTGTTTTTGTTGAAATTTGCAACCTTCAAGTAACACAATATTTAATATATTAATTTAATTAGAGACGTTTAGTTAAATGTAAAATTATTTTTAGTGAATAGTTACATTATTGCCAGTTGAAAAGACATTTTAACGTTTGCATCTATGTCACCTTGAGGAAGCTATAAAATTTTATCAAAACAATCTGTATTTCCTGTGAAAGATATCCTGTTTCTCGATGAACCACAAGTTTAAGTTTTTTTGTTAAAATGTATACGTAATATCGTGTGAACCTCCACATTTGTATTACACATGCAATTAGAAGTACAGGCCTAAATGTAATTATTTTAAATCACTTTCTCTCCTCTCATTGTGATGTAATTTTAAATTCAATGTTTTATATACAATAGTTGTCCAATAGCCTTCAAACAACAATTATTTATTGGTTTTAGATTCAGTTAAAATGTCTGAAGAAGGCTTGGACTGGTTACAGTCAATATTGTTAGAAGTTCAACTCACGCAATTCTTGATTCCTATAAGAGATGATTTACAAATTTCAAGGCTTGAACATTTTGATTTTGTTACACCTGAAGATTTGGAAAATATAGGCCTCAGCAGACCAGGTATGTTTCAATTCTCTTTTATAAAAAATACTTAGTTCTTTAAATCTCTAAAAGCTTTAAGGATTTGGGAAATCAGTATATTTTTTGTTAAAACCAGGATTGAGCTGATGAATATAATGATTTAAATGAAAGCTAGTATTGTTATTTACATAATCATATTCAGTTTAATATTTTTATTATAAAAGTGTATACTTACACCAAAAATTATGTGTTGCAAGTGACTTTATTTAACAGTACTTAGCACACTATTTACACAATAATCCATAAATTACAAGCAACAATATTAACAAAATAACATAACTATGTACAGGCAAGTTAAGTTTAATTGTATAAACTGTGCAAAATGATGTCTTTTTCATTAAAATTATAAATTAGTCAATAATTATGAAAGTATTTAGCAATATAAGTGAAATAATAAATGGTTTCATTAATAAAGCATAGACGTATTAGTGAGCACTCAGATTTAAAATGACAAAACATAAACACTTTGTCTCAGGTACTTTTCTTACCTCAATTTTAAACTTACCATAATCGCTTAAGGTGTTTATTAAATCAGACACCTAGTTGATTATATGGGCTCCTACAGTTGTAATGAAGATAATTTTTAAAACAATGTAGGTAAATGTAATGATTTGACATTATTATGCTATTATTTATTTTATTAAATTTTGTTTCAAATTTCTCCCAGTTTCCTATTTTCAATGTAACACATTTAAAAAAATTAAAAGTTCAGATTTGTTTCTGAATCAGATGAATTTAATAATAGTATGAGAGCCCACTGCAAATTTCGACCGTCATCTGATAACGAAATGAAATATGCTCCAAAGGCATGTAACAACATTGTACTTTCCCAAACTGCACCTGTGCCAATCCCTATCCTGAGCAAAGAGGTTAAAAAAAATTATTTTATATTTGAAAAATCACATAAGACATGACAGCGACAATTGTGTTTTCCCTGAAAATTACAATCCTAATTAATTGTGAACCTAGCTTTTATACCTGAATTAATAATATTTTTACCTACATTTTAAACCATGTTTATGTGTGAAAGGAAGAAGGATGGCATTGTATAAACCATTTGCAGAGATAGACAATAATAATTATAAACTCTTGTTAGACATTTATTTTAAACCATAATCATAGTAGTTTTTTTGTCGTTTCCTATGGCAACCTGTCAAAATGAATCACAACAATAGGCTTATAAATAAATTTTTAAATCAGCAAAAATTGATTCATATTTTTAATGATTTTTACCTACTAATTGTGGATAGATGTTTTTGTGCGATGTTAAGAGGAAGAAAATGTTTCCCTTTAAAGATATATATCAAGATATATTTGAATGTTGTTTTCTGGAAAACTTTAAGGGCAAACAAAATTAGCGCTGTCATGCCTTATGTGATTTTTTTAATATAAAATATTTTTTTTAAGCCACTTTGCTCTGGATTGGGATTGGCACAGGTGCCATTTGGTAAAGTGCAATGTTTTTCCATGCTTTTGGGGTATATTTCATTTCGTTATCAAATGACGGTAAAAATTTGCAGTGGGCTATAAGATGATAGCAAAAAAGGCTTTATTTAATTTAATAATATAAATTAAATGTTATTTTGCAGTTAAAAACAGGTTGGCTGTATTGTTGTGTAGTAAAATTCATTAACTCTTATTTGCCTTCATTGAAAATTAAAGGATTATCCTTGCATCAATTACACATCATTTCAGGGAACTAGAACCCCTTTAAAGAATCCCTTAATTGGTTTCCCTGGTATATTTATTATTGGAGGCAAATCTAGAATGTACAATCGAAGAGCCTAATAAAGAACATTATTTAATCTCAGTGGACTAAAAAACAATTCACCATAAACTATAAATAGGACAGACTAAGGATGCAACATCAAAGTGGCATTTCTTTTTAGATTACTAATGCCAAATGTGTCATCACCAGGCATTATATTTTTTATGGAACCCAACTATTAGTATTAAAAAATAATAAATATATTTTTTTTTACTTTAGATCCATGTAGTGCAAAAAATGGCTTATATGAGCCTAACAGCTACCTGTATGTTTAGACAGTGCATGATAAACCTCACTTTTGGAGTTTTCTACTTTGCTAGGAAAGTCACAGCCAATGTTTAATAATGTATTGCCTTTTTCTTTAAATTTATATTTAGTGTAAACAAATTCTACTTGCATTACTTTACATAATTTAACAACAGGTCTGTTTCTAGTGTGCAATTTGTTATTTTGTTTTGTCAACTTTTCCTTTAATGGTACAATGCTGCATTAATTCTGTTGACTTTTTGCATTTCATTTTGTACCCCTAAATTTAATTGTTCCCTTACTAAGGCTTGATGATGACCCTTTGTATTTATTTTAGAATAAAATTTCGTTATTTTTAATCAAATATTTTTGATTCATTGTTTTATCAGAATATTTTTTAATATAGAAACTTTGATTACAAATAAACATTGAAGAATAAAACATTAAATTGACAACAATGGTTACTACATTATTTTTACATGAGATAAATTTTGTCATGATTAAAAAATTTTAAATATTTTTCCAAAGTATTCAATTTTGCTCATTCAAAAATAATCCAAAAAGAATGCATACAAATAAAACAGACTTTTGTGCTGATTAATCTTGAGATTGTTATTTCAAAGAAATGAAATATTTGAAAATAACAACAAACTAATAATTTACTTGTTTTTATTTTCATTATTTTATTTATAACTTTAATACTTTTTTGCAAACAGGTGGCAGGAGGTTGTTAGAAGCCGTGAAGAAAAAAAGGGCTCAGCAGAAAAAACGAAATTTAATTAATAAATTTATTCCTGTATCTAGTAAAAACCACACAAACAAAAAACATGAGGAGGTCATTATGACTGATTTTACTTCTTGTTTAATTCAAGAAAGCAATATAACTTTATCTATCAAACTTGGTGATGGAAGTTTTGGAGTTGTAAGAAGAGGTAATTTAAATACATGATTTTATCTAGTGCTTAATATGAAAATACTATTTAAAATATGTTGCAATATTGTGTGAAATTTAGTTTGTGAATTATAATTGAGAAGGGGATATTATTAATCACCTGTAAAAACTTTTTAAATTTTTTTTTATAATTTTTTTATATCGGTTTTAAGGAGAATGGATAAGTCCAAATGGAAAATCAATACCCGTTGCAGTAAAAGTTCTAAAGGCAGATGCTTTAAGTCAACCAGGAATCTTTGAAGATTTTATAAAAGAAGTTCAGGCAATGCATGTCCTCGGTCACCAAAACTTAATTAGGTAAAAATTGTTAGACAAAATTATTTGTTAAAATTAATTTGACACATTATTTTGCACCTATCGGCAATTTGACTTTAGGACCGTCCTTAACTATTTTTAAATTATTGTATCAACAGAAGATTCTAAATATTTAAAATATATCTTTAAAATTAACTATTTTATAAATCATCCATAGATAATTAAAACTAAACTCATCTAATTAAGTATAACCCAACATAGAAAACTATGAAATTACTAATGAACTAATTTAAATCTGTTTGAAATAAACTATAATATATGTTTATGATGAATAAATATTTAGGTTCTTCATAAAACTTATTTTTATTATGTACGAAAATCCAAATTTAATTTAGTAAATTAATATATACACAATATTTATACAGGGCGTTCCAAAAAATACCCATTTTAGAAGAGAATGCATTCTAAACTAAAAAAAAAGGTGTAGAGATGAAATTTTCGCCAGTCATTTTTAATCATTGAAAACATTTCACATGTTTCACATACGCATAAGTGATCCAAAAAAAAAGGAAGATTTTAAGTTAATAAAAAATAATTATATTTTTGTGATGTTTTGTTAAAAAATATTGTTAATTTTTAATGTGAAGGCAATCATGCTCTTTGAATATTTAATCTATGCGCCTTTACTTTCTATTTAAAGGATATTATTTGTTTATTGATCATTCTTGAGTATTAACATTTTTGTTATTTAAAAACTACTGATCTTAAAATGTATGCAATAATTTTCATATTCAAATGTAATTGATTTTCATTTAAAAGTAGATGATGATAATAATAATAATAATACTCTCCCTAATTCACCCCCTTACGAGTGAATTTCAACCCCTGAAGTCGACTGAACGACTTGTGTAGGGGAAGGGACGGCCATTATTATTATTTGCCGTGGCGCTCCGGGGCGACTTAATGATAATTGATGGTGCCATTTGACTTACAGGTGAGGAAAACCTCACCCACCATCATTAAATTATTGTACACTTCTGTTTGTCACCCTGAACTGGATTTTCGGTATAATCCTATGTATGTACAGGGTTGGTACAATAGATAATTACAAATTCTGTCATATGAAAACGCTTAATAGGTGTGAAATTTAATAAAACATAGAAGAGAGAAAGCAAAATAATTCCAATAATGACGCCCTTAGTAAGCAAAATCAAAGGTAGAGTGTGGAAATTAAATTTCTATCTTTGCTGTCTTTCCTTTGGATATAATTAAGTACCTGTTGCGGTATTAGTCAAAGGAGTAGTTGTTTTCCGAAGGGAAATGATCTCTTATTTTTTGTGACATATGGCTTTGTGTTTATTTATTTTAACCATTGCTTGTTTTCTTTATTGTTTGAAATTATCTAGATACTTTGTTTTATGTACTGCTAACAAAGGAAATATGATTTATAGGTTATATGGAGTAGTACTTTCACAACCAATGATGATGGTAACCGAACTTGCCCCATTAGGCTCTCTTTTAGATTTTTTGAGGAAACAATGTGAACATACTCCTGTACCAATGCTCTGCGAGTATGCCACACAAGTAGCTACAGGTATGGCTTATTTGGAAAGCAAACGGTTTCTTCATAGAGATTTGGCTTGCAGGAACGTTTTACTGGCCGCTGTAGATAAAGTAAGTCAACTTCTTATCCTTAGGATTTGGTTATTTTTAGAATACCTTGTTAAAATTTTAATGTGAACATAAATCTAGCTCACTAATAGATTTTTTTTACTATTATACACTAGATGTTTAAGTTCCTTCAATAATTTTAATTATTAAATTATAAATATATTAAAATTATAAATATGTTTAGGTTTTTCTTGTTAATATTAGTTCTGTTTTATTAAATGGAACATTTAGTATACTTTTTTATTTAGTAAGAAAATATTTATTTTAAATATAAAACCTAAATTAACTAACTTATTAATAATCTAAACACTTGAAAACGATAAATTGAAGTTCTTTACATTGTTCTTGTAATTAACTAGGATTCATTATTTCTAATATATCTATTTTAAATATAGGTGAAAATTGGGGATTTTGGATTGATGCGTGCCCTTCCTCAAGAAGAAGATTGTTATGTTATGACTGAACACAAAAAAGTTCCTTTTCCTTGGTGTGCTCCAGAATCTTTAAGGTTTAGACAATTCAGCCATGCTTCAGATACCTGGATGTTTGGGGTCACTGTTTGGGAAATGTTTACGTTTGGAGAAGATCCTTGGATGGGCTTAATTGGTAAAAATAAAGGAAAATTATATGTAACGTTTAAATGCGATATTAAAAATTGTGTGTTCATTGTTTGTAAATACAAGGTAGTATTTGCTTACTGAATTTTATAATGGCATAAATCGAAATATATAGTTTTGAGAAAGTTTTCGGTAACAGTTACAATTCTATTTTAACTTGAAAACAATTATTTAGGGTACTTCAAGGTTTTTTAAAGTCTTATTTGGCTCATTTCCTTCCAGGGCCATAACTAACGAACCATTCACTATATTTTTTTATTATTTGGTACAGTTAAAACAAGATAATATTTGGAGTTTATTACAAAAATCTGATGTGTCCAACACATGACTTTTCTGACTAGTTATTACAGGCGTTTTCTGGTTATTTTCTAAAACCTATTGTATCACACCTGTAAATGTTTAGAGGATGAACTAAATACATACATTTTCCATACACATCCTACTCGAAACATTTTTTTATATAATATATTCATTGGTAACGAAAATAATGGAAAAATTAAAATTTTACACTTTTTCTCAATTTTTTTTTCATTACGGTCCAATTTAGAGAAATCCTGTATAAAATAAAAACTATAGAGAATGATATCGCAAACAACTGTTATGCCCAAAATCTAATCAGATCACCGCAGGATGGAGTAAAGCTTAAGTTGAAAATTTTGTGTTTTTCTCTGTATCCGTTAATAATTTATCGAGTATACAGACACACACACACAAAGACATCATCGCGAAAATAGTCAAAACGGATTTAGGGGACCCCAAAAGGTAAAAATCTGAAAAAATCATGATTCCTATACTTTCCTTATCTGTATATAGACAGGAAAGTAAAAAACAAATTTAATGTCAATAGAAGTAATAATTACTTAAAGCCAGTCAAAGAATAAAACTAATATTTAAACAATTTACAAAAATCTGGTGGACAAAACACGTACAAAATAGCTAAAATGAATGATAATGATAAGATATTGAAAATGATGATCTACAGGATGTTTTAAAGACACAAAAATTTAATGATTTTTTTGTTAATCCGAACCTGGTTTTTTCGTGTTGCTACGTGTACCAAGCACCAAGAATATATACTGAATGATTCGTTAGTTATGGTCATAGAAAAAACCAAATCTATAAATTACCCTATATTTTGGTTATGAAGACTGCAAAACCCATTACATATAGCATATTTAGAACCACCTCGATAAGAAACAATTTTTTTTTTATTTGGTGTCATCGGCATCAACTACTACGGTTATTAGCCTCGTGTTCTATGTAGGCTTTGTTACTGTTTCCCAGCGCCACTTTAGGAACAGCACTGTTAATTAGAACCCAACAGTGAATGGTCGAGTGGGGAATCCTACCAAGGCATCATAATTAATTTTAAATATTTAAATTAAATGAAAAAAATCCCTGCCAACGGTGGGATTCGAACCTGGGACCCTTGGATCCGCAGGGAGAGACTCTACCACTGATCCACCCACCCCCCTAAGAAACAATTTTTATTGTAAATTTTTGTATTATATTTTTTATGAAAAATTGACATAGAACACTGTAGAATCATTTTTCTTTTTAGATCCAAATGTCAGTTTCAAGAGTTTGGACAAAAATATAAAATAGACCATTCTATTTCCATACTAGTCGTATATAATAGCTATTTATGAAACCAGTTATGAAATGTATTATTTTATGTAACGAGTAAATATTTGCGGGTCGAGCAGAGCGAGGTCCCGCCAACATGAACGAGTTACATAAAACGGTATTTCGTAACGTGTTACATACAATATTTTTTCTAATTTTAACTAAAATTGTGTTTTGGTTAAACATTACTGATATTTAGGCAACCAATATTACTTTCTTGTATTGTTGCATATGCATCATTTTATTGACTACGATTAGAACATCATTATTATTATTTATTATCAACAACGTGTGTTTATATTATTTATTAAAGTTATTTAGTTTCCAAAAAGTGGGTTATTTTATCGTGTATTCTGTTTTAATTAATTTGTGATGATTTGGACTGGAAAATAAGCACCACAACAAAATTACTAGGTTGTAAGTATAACTAAATTCTATTTTTGTAAGTCAACCTGCCCTTCTTTGATACAAACTTTCAATAATAATGTATATTATTGATTTTAAGACCAAAAAAGATTTGTTTTCTTTTCGTAACTGGTAACGTAATGAATTTTTGGAAACCCCTTTTCATAATGTTGAACATTATGCAACTGGTTATTATTCAACTTCGAAAAATATACATAATTAAAAAAAAAATTCTCTCTGTGTCATATTAAATCCAAGTTAATTTTAACATTATTATATTTCAACTGTTTAAAAGATCATTGAAGTAAATGTATTTTTAAAATAAATTACTTACCTATAGTAGCAGTTATCTCTAACTGGCCTTTAGAAACATGGTCACACAATACATATAAACATACCTAATCATTTCCTGATTCACGACCATTTAATCAAATCTTGTAAGTATCTAGCTCGGATATTTGCAGTAAAAACAAAGTTTTAACGGAGGATAATAATTGATTATTAAAATATTAAAAAATTGTAATATTGGCTATTACTGTGGAGCTTAAAAATCAGTCTCCATTATGTTAATTATATTTTACTAAACAAAAATGCTCAATGAAAATAAATAATGTTTTTTTATATAAACTCTGCTTTTGCCATCTCCAATAATTCTTGTATATTTTAATTTATGCATTTTTAAACTAATATGGAATTGTTATAAAATTAGTTCCAATTCCATGGAAGTACATAGATGAACCAGCCCAATTGTTTTGAACATTTTTAGGAGTTACAGATGTTATGTTTTTTATCAAAGCTCGAATGCAAGTAGGACAATATTTACTTTTTAAAGAAACATACACATTTTTTCTAGTTTTTGCTCCAATAATACAAGCGTTTAAAATATAAGTTAATGCAAAAATAATATCCAAAAGCAAAAATTTAATTATCTTAGTATTTATTTAAACAGATATTAATAATCATTATATACAGAGTGTCTCTGGAAGAACTGAAAACCAGGAGAAAAATCTTTTATTTTCACCATTTCGAAAAAAATGTTATTCTTCATAAAGGCTTTTGCTCGTTTCAAAACTAATAATCCAAACAGAAGTTAAATATATTTTTGCTTTAGTCAAATAATGATCAAAATATTATAAAAAAAAAAATAATAAATAACAAAATTTATCATAAGATATTCAACTTCTGTTTGAATTATGATTATTTTTGAAATAAGCAAAAACTTAGGTAGAGGTGAATTACTAAATTGTTTTTGACCATTTATTAGATTATCTGAAGTATTAAATCTATTTATTTGCGAGGTCTCTAAATATTATCTATTTGTTCCGAGAATTATTAAAAGTTTTAAATAATTTATTAATTTAATCCTTTTTACACTAAATATTAAGGTATCAAATAAAAAAAATATATGTACGTGTGTGATACTTCGTTAGAGGTATCACATGTCTTAAAAAAAAATCTCTTATTTCATAATCCAAAATATATGCTTGTTTTGGTAGTCTAAAAAATTAATGAAAATAAACCTTCTAGTACATTCATTTGCATTTTTTTTCTTCTTTAACAATCATGAGTTTGTGTAATAAACACAACATTTCACCAAGTTGTACATTTAAGAGAAACATAATAATGTCAATTGTTTATAGCCTAAATGTAATAAATTTATCCCATTTTAAAAAAATTTGTAATGTACTATATTTTCTAATAATAAATTTTCAGGTTCAGAAATTCTCCGAAAAATAGAAAAAGAAAACGAACGCTTAGCTCCACCGGAAGCCTGTCCACCAGCCATTTACTCAATTCTTCTCCGTTGTTGGGCAAAAGATACCCAAGAACGTCCAACGTTCTCTTCTTTGAAAAGTTTCTTCCGTAAAAATATGACACCTGTAATGAAAGCAGTCGGTAGGCAGGATGAAGTAGGAAAATTGAAAGTAGAAGAAGGCGATGAAATAGCCATAATTGATGGTAGTGCGGAGCTGTACTGGTGGAAGGGTCAACATCAGCAGACATTTAAAATTGGACTTTTTCCGAGATGTTTGGTAGATCCAATGAGACCAAAGCAGGCTGAAGATATCAGGTATATATATTTTTTTATTTATTTCTGAATACATTTAGTTTTTGTTTATTGCTATTTTGGTTCTATTCTTTAATGATTCATTAAATCAATTATCATAGTAGTGCGAAAATTATGTGAGAAGCCGGTCCTAATGCATTTTTAACAAACAAAACTATTAAAATATCTTAAAAACGTTAATTTGTTATAATATATTAAAGTTTTGAATGTAATGCATAATACGTTTGATAATATAGTCCTAAAACCTATTTATTATATTAATAACTGGGTAATAGTGAAATTGATAAGTAATTTTCTGTTTAAAACAGCAATCCTCTTCAACATTCTTTTATCCATACTGGTCATGGATCAGCATTTGGAGAATCTTGGGGCAGCCCATCTTACATTGATGAAATGTATTTAAAGAATCCCATGGAGCCACCAGATGTAATGGGTTTACAAAGACAGTCAAAGCCATTACCTGAAATCTGTGATAGAAGAAAATCTCCCAAACCTAGTAGTAAGTCTTCTTTAAAAAGTTTTTTTTTTTTTTGAAACATTTAAATCAAACATTTACTTTTCTTTATTTAAATAAAAATATAATACAGATTTGGTCACATATGTCGGAACATCTAATTTGTAATAAATTAAATTAACAATTTTTTTATAGATTTTCTGCACTATTAAATGACGAATATTCATTTCAGAAACCATCTAATTTGTGGAAATATGACTCAGTCGATAGTTTTTTAAATGAATCGACCTATATTTATATTTTTTGATAGCTGTTCTTTTTTCTCTTACAACTGTTTATCGTTTGAAAATATACATTGATATTATAATATAAAAATCAATCTATTTGATTTAACTTGAAGAATTTTGTCATATTTAAGGTGGCAGTTTAAAACTAACGTAGTCAGAGCTCAGGAGCCCAATTCCTGAAACTGTGCGCTAATCGCCGTATTCGATTAGCGACGCATGGTCGCCACCGCATGCGATGGAAAATTTGTATTCTTGACTACCCTTCGTTAGGGTAGCTTCGTGTCACATAATGTAGCGAAGAGTCTTTGATTGTTACAGCAGATCAATCGTTTTCAACCAATCAAATTTAAGAACTATATAAAAAACTGTACTATCGGCTTAAAAATGTCAAAAAATTAACCTGTGCAAGTGTCGAATTAGTACTTTCTATCATTATTAAAATAAATTTGAGGTAGGTATTTGGAAATGGAGATTGAGAATAAACCGAAAACTTTAAAATTAGCAAAATATTTTTATGAACTGTGTATCTGGTAACAAAAATGGATCCTGCCGCCCGATGTAATTGAGAGGTTGTAGTTCTGTATCTAATTGTGCCTCTTCAATATTTTGTATTAATTGTCGAATGGTCAAGACCGTTCGTTGCAAATCATTCGCCAAGCGACGCATGCGAGATCACTCGCACACGGCAAAGGCTTTCAAGAATACCATTTTCTACTTGAATACGTCACCGCATGCGAGACGATGACGAACGCCGTCAGGAATTATCCCAGAGCTGTTACATGTCTTAGTTTCCAACTAGTGTTTAACACTGTTCAACAAAGTATTTTCCCCAAAACTTTTCTCTAAATTCGCTAGTTGCATCGCAAAAGTACATCCAGCACACAGTGCCGTTACGAGAGTCAATTTAACCAATTGGAATTCATAAAAGTGACAGCTTTAAGGGGCGGAGCTTAATGCTGCGAAAAATAGTGATGATGGAAACAAGTTTTCTAACTTCAACTTTAGATATACATATATGTGTTTTGTTTTGAAATATTATTCTTTTATTTTATGACAGTGACTAGCAGGACATCGTATGTACGCGCTTTATTTGTACATCGGTCTCCTTTTGACAGAGTAGGTGAGCTGTGTCCAGGCCGTTGGTGTTTATGCCGGTCGGCGTAGGGATTGAAATTTTCTTGTGGCGGCGAAGCCGCCACCCTACGAGAAATCGTTGCTTCGTCTTCTTGTTGTCACGGCATTATTATTATTATTATTATTATTTGTTCATGTATGTGAAATTTGCTTCTAAGGTTTATAAAATACTACAGAAAAATATTTAAATCTTCCACTCCATCATCTGAAATAAAGTTAGGTTAAAATTATGATGTACAAATAATGGGTGATACATCCGATGTACTGCTAGTCACGGCGTTACTTTCAAAACGAGCTCTCTTTTATGCCCCGCCTATAATTTGGCGTTCGCGCGTTGTTATTGGCTCTTCTACGCCTCATAGCGGAACTGTGGGCTAGATGTACTCTTGCAGTTGCATCTGCTCAAATCAAGTAATAGGCTGATACTGGGTGACAATGAGACTAAGGCCAATATCGCTTTTATTTATTGAGGGCCGATTTCATAATGACAATTAACTAATTGGACCATTAAGTCCATAAGATATATTGGACTTATTGATTTACTGGTCCCATTAGTTAATAGACCGTTTAATATTCATTATGATTTGGAACAAATACTATAAACTATACATTATTTCGAATTGATACTTATACTTAAATAAAATGGTTTTACTGAAAATACCTTTAAATTCTAAAAATATAAAATATATTTATTTAAAATTCAAAGACATTGACACTAAGCAAGCGATTTACGGGAAGAAAAAATTTCTGAAAGGCACAGGCATTGTTATACGAGAAGATCTTACCAGTCACAGAGTTAATATGTTAAACAACGCGATTGATAAATTTGGTTTAAAAAATGTCTGGACTGAAAATGGTAAAATATACGTTATAAAAGAAAATAAACTGACTATAATAAAAAATAAAAATGATTATACAAATTTTATAAATACTGAAAATTGATAGGTAGTCTACAAATTACATGTTTTTTTGTAATTTTGTTATATTTCTTTAGGTCTTGTAAATAAATCGTTTGCATATGTTAAGTATAGGATTATCTTTGCATTTCTTTTAAATTTAAAGTTATTGGTTTTCTGAATTGCATTATGTGTTAATTTTTTTTTTTAGCGAGCTCAAATCAATTGTATTATAAAGGTATCTACATAAAATGATAGATTTTTTGGATATTTTAGATAATTCAGAGATTGATACACAAATATTTGATGACATCGGGGATTATGTGCAGAGAGAAGCAGATAATGGCTCACTAGGGATAGTTCATTTTAATATAAGGAGCTTACAGAAACATTATGACCAATTACTAGTATACATAGAAATGTCAAAAAACAGATTTGATGTCATCATCTTATCTGAAACAAGAAAAATAAACAATTTAAATGATTTCTCGATTCCAAACTATTTAATTTATTACAATGAGTCGCTATTTAATAAATGTGACGGAGTTGTAATTTATATAAAAAATAATATAACAGCATCAGCTAATATAGTTCCAATAAACGAAAGTAATTTTCTAAGAGTAACTTTTACAACAAATTATTTACCAAAGAATAATAAAATTGGGCTAACAGCATTTTATAGACTACCAGGAACAGACTCAAAAAAATATTTAGAGGATTTAGAAATATATTTAAGTACAATACAAAAACAAAATTTAGAAGTGTATGTAGGAGACATAAATATTGATTTATTAAAAAAAGTGTTGATTTAATTATTTATTTTATTTTTAATGTTAAGTATTTTTGTCTATACCCTGTATTATGCGTTTAGTTGGATTTGACAACTTGTCAGAACGGGGGAATGATTGACATTGATTTTTTTTGATATAATAAAATTGTTCATTTGCACCCAGTATTTTAACTTCCTTTTCAACCAGCGCATTTTATAGAGTCTTTCACAAACAGTGGGCTCTTGAGACGGCAGACCGCCACATGGTCCTATGATGTCTAAATGAACAACTGTTTATGCCACAAAATTTTTTGTTGAAACAATTATTTAGCCGGTGATTATTCTTAAAACATGAAATGCATAATTTATTTTTTATTGCAAACTCCCATCTCTCATCTACAGACATTTCAAGAAATTTTTTACATTTTTCTAAATTATGTTTTTCATTATTGCAGCATGAACAATTCTCATTATACTGTTTTCGGGTTACCAAAAGAGTTTCTGATTTTTTCTGTGATTGCAAATTGGGTTTAAAGTTTAAAGGACATAATAAGTTATTTGCTTTTCTCATTTCTTTTAACCAGTCAGCAAAATTTATTAAATTTACATTTTTTAATTTTACAGCATGCAGTGCCCAATCACGTCTAAGACTAATTGTTAGATTACTAACGAATTCATCTAAAAGATATGGATTCTTTATATAATCACTACTGTCTAGATGTTTAATAGCAGTTACTAAATTACAAACTAAGTTAGCATATTTTACGATACTCTCAGGTTTGTAATCTTTAACAGGAGGTGAATTTTTTATTTCTTCAATCATTGATTTAATAATATATTGTGGACGTCCGTAATTGTTCTCTAAAGTCTCTATAATATCGGATACATTTAAATGTGATATGAGCAACATTTTGACTGATTCCTTTGCCTCACCTTTGAGGCATTGTCTAAGCCTGACTAGATTTTCGCTGTCAGAATATTTACAAATTCTAGTTGTTTCATTGAATTCAGTTATAAATACTAACCAGTCAGTTGGGTTACCATCAAAATTAGGTAATGATCTATCCATAACTTGTCTTCGTATTAAATATTCTCCCGCAGCCATAGAATCGCATAAAGAAATTTCATGAGACTTACCAAAAGTGTTTTGCTTTTTGGCGTTGCCGCTACCTTGAGGAAGCTCCCCTATTTCACCACCGACGTTCATCTTGATCTCTCTCTCCTCCGCAACAACATCAAGACCATGTTCTGGAACAGATTTTAACCAAGTGCTTACTCTAAAGTTAGTATCATCTAGGATAACTTCTTCTTCGTCATCAGATTTCTCAGAGTCCTCATCTAAAGTTAAATTATCTAGAGCTAATTGTTACAAAATTAACTCCTTTTCTATTTCGGCCTGTTTCTTTTCCAATTCCAAAATTTTCCTTTCTGCCTCTATCTGCAATCTACATCTTACATTAGTGCTTCTAGACTTCCTACTGGATTTCTTCGTTCTTGCTGAGCTTCTATCTATGACGTTATAATCGGTGTCCTGTACATTTTTTACTCCTGGTTGGATATCTTCTTGGTTTTCAGAATTGCTGTTTTCTTCTCTGCCAATTGTCGTCAAATTACCAACAGTTTCTGCTCGTCTGCGAAGCCTGGTATCATAAATTTTTTTTGTAGCACCCAAAGATTTTGTTGATTTAGTCACTTCCATAATTTCTCTAGATAATTTAACTTTATGTTGGAATAACTCCTGGATAACCCTCGTCTGCTTCGCTCTGCATATGTACTCAATCTAAAAAAATTTTGTATCCTACTTATTTTTATACCTACTTAGGCACTAAAATATAAAATGTACGTTTTATTTCAAATCTTTTAGAATCAGCACAAGCAACACAGGCAGCTTTTGCTTAAGCTTGTTGCTAATTCTAGATTTTTTGTAATCTATATTAATCTTAAAATATTATTATTATTATTATTATTATTATTTGTACTTTATTACTATTTGAATTTGAATAAATTGAATTGAAATATAGGATGATCCATTTAAAAAAATCAAACCTAATGGGGTTTCTCGTAAAACCGAAAGTCGGCCATTTTATGTTTATGTATAAGTATCAATTCGAAATTATGTCTAGTAGGTTTGTCCCAAATTTGAATTAAATCGCTTGATGAATAAAGGAGTTATTAACGTGGCCCTGGTCTCATTGTCATCCGGTATATCGGTGATGCCAATTTATATTATAAATCCGAATTTTTTTTGTATAATTGGGTATTTTTGGCAAGAAGATATTTAACAAAATGCAAATATTTAATATATAAAGGGGCAAGGTTCCAAAAAATTAACACCTACATTTTCAAACATGATCCTAATAGATATTAAGGCGATTGATTCGAGGATACTATGTATATCTGTTTTTATAAATTACTAGCTGTTGCCCGCGGCTTTACACGCGTGGAGTCGTGTTTTTTAGGGTTCATGGTATGGATGTGATAGTATCATAAATTAAAATTAATTAGAGTATTCTAATATTTAAACATTCTCATCTGCTTATATCACCAGATTGCATGCGAAACTGACTCTCTAACAGGTAACATAAAACTGTCCATGAGAAAAACAGTCCTGGAAAAATAATTATTTTTATTTATATTTATTTATTTTTATTTAGTTTATTTTATTTGATTTTATTTATATTTAAAAATAAAAGAGGTGAATAAATATATCTCAAAATCAGATAAGTTAATTGTTTGGAATCGAGAGTTTATTAACCTTCACCTGGCATGCTCATCCTGAGTAACATACCTGGACTCGTGGGGTACGTACGAACCCCAGTGATAAAAATCTTTGTAAAAATAGAAATATTGATTATTTTGTCTCAAAAAAATTCAGAAATCCTCTTTAGATGCCACTTTAAACTGTAGAATAGTCTGAGTTGAAAAAATTAAGATCAGCGTTCATAAAAATCCGGAAAACTGTAAAACTTGAAAAATATGGAATTTTTATAAAAAAATCATAACTTTTGTTTTTCGATAAAAAGGGTTGAAATTTTAGCTGTGTCTTCTTCTGTTACATCACTATAAAAGAATAATAATCGTTTTCATGGATCTTTAAAAAGAGGTATTTATTTTGAGAGCGCTATTCCACTGACCCAGGTATAAAAGTATATCCCTTGACTTCCGATAGATATCGTTACGAGTTTCGATTTCGAAGATTTAGATATCGAAAAGCGACGAGAAAGGGCGTGGGGTATGAACGTACCCCCACGAGGCCTGGTGAAGGTTAAAAAAATTTAAATTGGTCAAGCCTTCTTGAGAATAATGTGTTAAAACTCTATTTTTCGAACTTTAACGAAACACCTCTTAAATACACGGTTCTAGTAGGATACAATTATTGTTATGCTATCCCATAGGAATCACACATTTTTCGGGATAAGAAGCCTATAACATTCTCTGATGTCTAAAATACTGCTATCCAAAAAATCATGTCCATCCCTTGGTCTGTGAAAAACCAAAACAAATCTATCTCACAGAAACCATACATTTTCCGGGATAAAAAGTAGCCTATAACATTCTCTGGCGCCTAAACTACCACTATGCAAAAAATCATGTCTATCCCTTGCTCTGTGAAAAACAAAAACAAATATATCCCACGGGATATTTTCCGGGATAAAAAGTAGCCTAGAACATTCTCTGACCCCTAAACTACCTAAAAATCATGTTTGTGGCAACGTTGTTATTTTCAAGACTATTTTCATATAAAATGAAAAAAAACGTAAGTTTAGTCGGAACAGACTTTGTTTTGGCAATAGGATTTTCTGTGTAGGTAAAAACCTACAGAGAGGTGAACCAGTCGAAATAATGATACGTTTTCATCCGAATTCACCAAAATCGCTTACAAATCTCTCGAAATTCCAAAAATCACCATGAAAATCAGTACTTCTCTCGCACTCGAATCAAAATAATGGGAATCGGTCAAAATGACTCTAACTGTCCGGATTTGGTTCAATAATGATGCAGCAAGTTATGACAAAAAAAAGGTCTTTGGATAATTCCAGCATTTTACCAATCGTCTATTTTATGTAAAAAAATATGAACAATATTTCATTGTATTTTTTTTTTTTTTTCAGTAAATGGTTCCTTACGAAGGCCGTCAGAAAAACAATTCAATTACAAAAAATTGACAAATCAAGATAGTTTTAAGATAAAAAACAAGCCACAAAGACCGCCTGTTCCAAAAATTGATCCATCAAATGAAGGTGTTCTAGTTGATATATCTCCTGAAGATATGCCAGTGTTAAGAATGAAAGACATAGTTGGCAGTAGACCAGAATCTAGAGCTGTTTCTCTCTTGGATGAACCAATTGATGTGCCACAGGAAGGTTAGCATATGTTTTTTTACCTTTTTTGATTTAGACTAGGTTTCCTCTTGATTCTCATTTATATAGTTTCTATCACTTATATTGATGCTTTTTTTAATAAATTAACTTTTCTTTTAGTAATACTTAAATCCAAGTTGGACAACTTGAAAAGCGTTTGTGAACGACAGGGTTATTCCGTTTTTTTATTGTGTAATTGTTGTCAATTTTAAATTTCCTCAAAGCATCATCTATTATTTTTTTATTAATAACCATTGGCTAATTGACTAATCTTGATTTAAAAAATATATACTGAGAACTAACTAAGCAATACCTTTATTACTACTAATTTAGTTATTTTATTTTTTACAGATTGTAACTCTTGGACATCAGACGCCCCAAATATTCCAGAAGCAGGACCTCCTCCCTACAATTTTCCGCCATCATATTCAAATTCTTCTGCTTTCGTTACTTCTGAACCAGCAAGTGACCCTTTCGATACTACAAATGTATTCAAACAAGAAAACCCCCAAAAACCTCTCTCCCCGACTGTTTCGCCGTCTACCAGCTCTCTAACGAATTCTGCTTCAACTCCAACAAGCACTTTTTTAAACAAAATTACCCAAAATCTATTCGAAACGAGCCCCACCAAAAACCAAAGCTCTCAAAGAGCCTCTTTTGTTCAGGGCGATATCTCCAATAGAGGTCTGAATTATTTTAAAGCAAATATATTCGATAAAGAGACTAACATTGCAATATCTAAGCAGGTGTCAATTGCTCAAAAAAATTTAGCCATACCTTTTAACAAGACTGAAAATGATCTGGCGAATGGAATAACATCTCTTAAGTTGAATTCGCCTGAAAAGTTGGAGAATGATAAAAAGTTTTTGTCCGAGTTAGAAAAATGCTTATTAGGAAAGGATAGTGAGATACCTATTCTAGATCCACCCCAGCCAGTCAAAAAGAGGAATAACGGTGTGGTAGACACCTTTCCAAAAGTACAAAATCGTAAGCAAAATTGTATTTTTAACGACGGGGTTTCCCTGTGTATAAAAACTGTATGTGTAGAATAAAAGTTTCCAAATATATGATATTTAAAAATCTAATTTTCAACCAAATTAAAGATAAAGGTCTAACTTAGATCGTCTTACTATTGAAAATTGATACTTTTTAGACTTTAAAATAACCTGATTTTCGTTAATCATAAAGGTGTCGTTTAACAGTATCGTCGATTTCAAACAAATAAAAATAAATAGTAAGATGGCCTAAGGCCTAAGTTCAACCTTTACCTACTCAGATTATAGAAATATTGCATATTTTCTGAAATCAGTCGATTTGAAGTAATTTTTTTTAAATGCTATGTCAAATCTCATAAAAGTAATATTTTGGGCCAAAAATGGCTGATACATTAACTCATTTTTCCTCAGTTAGTTCATTATACTTTATTAAAGATGGTTTTCTAAATCAAAGATATTTTCTGTCTCAATATGATGTATTAACTAAATGTTTTTTGGTATATACTTATACAATAGGAACGTAACATCCTGCTATTGAATATTTACTTACTTTTGTGTATTTTTTATATGTACCATTTGGGAGTTTTCTTTGGTTGAAAATTGAAAATAATATTAAAATAAATAAGTAAACTTTCAATTTAATTTTATATTGAATATAACATGCATAATAATTTATTGATTTATTTTAATCTCTTTCAGAAACGTATTCGAATTTAGGAAAAATCTACTCAAAGACGATGAATAGTTCTCAAAAAAATGACACGAACTCTGTGATAAACAATATTTGGTTCGAGACAACCGCTATTGGAAACCAAAAAGATAACAATAAAAATAGTCAGATAGATAACCAAAACAAAAATGAAAGTTACTCAACAACGTTAGAATTTGATCCATATAGGTCACCAAGAAGATATGATCCAGTTTACTGTTCTTCAAATTCTATTTTTGGAGAAAACAACCATTATGACATGACCACTGATAATTCTCATTCTACAAATGTTGGTATGTTAAAAAATTATATTATACAGAACATTTTTGTTCTTTAGTTTGTAGATAACCCTAAAACGGATCTAAACAGCCTAATTCACAAAATATCTCTAAACGTATCTGTAAATTATAATGAATGTCTAAATAGAGTTGATCAATATTTCACGAACTGTGGTTTAATTATTGATATTTAAAAATTTGGTAAGTTGAAATTCTTCATATGACACAGCTCTTCAAGGGTGACTCAAGTAAAAAAATGCAAAATGGGGGGAAGATGGAATATATTTTTTCCACCCTTTCAGGCATCCCTCCTTCTTTACCTCCTCTTGGGGTTCGAATGGCGGGACTGAAGCTCAGATGGCACATTTTGGCACCATTTAGATACCCTGCTCCTTCCCATTGATCATACATTCATTCATCGTCATTCTTTCCACGTCGTCGATTAAGTCCAGAAGCCACTCTTCCAAACGTGACCGGCTTAACTGCCGCGAGAATGTGAATGCACACTAGTCTCGCGGCCTAGCCTCTCTAATTATCTGTGTCTAGTGTCAATAGTCAATATTTTAATACCATTCACCATCTATACGATGTTTCAAGAGTGGCTTTGAGGAGAACTGAGAAAACTGGGGATGAGAGTCGGAATGCGAGTTTGACTGTTGAAGCCGTGTGTATTGATAGCCCAACTGGTAGAGAAGCGGACGCGTATAGTCTGGGTTTCTTTTCAATTTGGAGATATGGGGGTGTATTTTTCATAATTTCATAGGAGAATTGGGGATTATATTATATTTTCATATTTCCAAATTGCATTTTCAATTTTTGGATCTCAACCGATTTTCTCACTTCATTTTACTTTGTTAATATATTAATTGCCTACATTAAGCTATTATAAAAGTCAGCATAGTACTTTTTATTTCGATTACTTTTTAATGGAAGCAATCAGTCTTTTTTGTTTTCTTTTATTTTTATTGTACTTTGGTACGCTTGTTTAAAGTGTTGAAACTCGAAATATAACGTTATAACATAAAAATTTTACACAATTTTATGGAGCAAAATTGACACAAATCAAAATGTGACACTTTTGATGTGTAAAGAATTGATAATTCGAGAAACTTTAAAAGCGACATTAGCGACCTCTATCTAAAATTTGTAGAAACGAACTTGTGACACTTTTACAGATAATAATTTTCTAATTAAAAAACCGACCTCAAAATCGTGCAGATGTTGTTAAAAATTGAGATTTTTGATTTTCACATAGATCATCAGATCCTGACCAATTGTATACGGAACTACCCCTGAGGTATCCCCTTTCTAACAAACAAAAAAGAATCATAGAAATCGCTGAAAATACATAAAAAAATGAAGATTTTGATGATTTTCTCATAGACCTCATCATTAGATTTTAACCAAATTTAGATGGGACCACCCCTGAGGGTACCCCATTTCTAACAAAAAAGAATCATAGAAATCGGACAACTTAGTAAAGAATTATCGCTGAACATACATAAAAAAAATGGGTAAACTATTTTACCCAGAATTTTTCTCGATATAGAAATTGTAAAAACAGGGAAATACTAAATACTTAAATTTTAATAATTTAAAATTAAAACCACCAAACCAAAAACCATTTTTCACATTTCTCTCCATCGATCTTCCTCTTGATCTCGCCCGAATTCTCACTTCGCGTCCACTCGATATTCTTTGCCACGATCACAATGAACAATATTGATTGGCTGCTTTTAAAATGGTCCAGTTACACAAACCAAAAGGACAATTTTGATTATTTCCATTCAAGGGGGCCCTTTTTTGATTAAATACGATTCCTTTCAGCGCGATTTTGAATTTTTAAAAAATTATTTAGGATCTGTAATCTTTGGCTTCTAAAATTGTCAGATACCAATTTTAGTCGAAGTCTGCCAACTTTTAAAAATAATTTTTATTTTAAAATCTGCTAACTCTGTATAACTGGTTTCCAGCCAGAAAGGAACCTTATGTCCATACAAAATTTAAAGTTTTTCCATAAAGCTGTTTTTGAGCTATCGCGCCAACAGACAGACCGACGGAATGGGGAAAGATGTTTTTCGTAATCTAGGGACCCTAAAACGTGAAAATCTGAAATAATCCCGGAATATGACTTTTTCACGATTATAATACTTCCCTTTAGGGAAGTAAAAATATTCCAACAAATTGAGAACCTCCTTTTTTGAAGTCAGTAAAAAAGAATAAGGTTTGCCGATATTTAACAAAAACTGGTGCTTTTGAGTTGTGTCACTTTTAACGAGGAGGTGCAACATGTTTTTTGTCAATTTCAGAAATAGAATAACGAATTGTAGCAGTAGCTTAACTAAAGAACCAGTTTGTCACCATGTCTCTAACCACTATCATCAATATACTATTAAGGAATGGGACAGCACTGTCACCAACCGTAGGGTCCTGAAGGAACAACCATTCGTCAGTGGCAAAAAAGAAAAATAAACAAAATAATCCCTTAATAGCAAAACCGAGCGGTTTTGGCAACCGGTTAAAGATTCTGCTAGTCCTTAGGGGTAGGATCACCGAGGCTTCACAAATGCTCGGAATATCCCATAATTACTTTTTGGAATGGAAAGTAGAGAATAATAATAAATAAACAGTAACGGGTTTAAAAACAATTTTTATTTTTGGAATAAGCAAACTTAACCTGCTATGACTTAGGCACTATTTGAGAATAGGCCCAAACCTTTCTTGACGACAACAACTACAACGATAATTAGATCTGTTTTCATACAATGGGCCATGTTTACATGTGAGATATGCTGGTTTATAAATTATATTGTAACAGTTAGTCGCTATACAAGTTATTCTACATAATCAGTTTGTTAAAAAAGCCAAAAGTTTTTAAATTAAAACCGATTTAAATTTAAAATTTGAAATGTGTACGTCATCGGGAATAGACCAATCAGCTTTCGTCGAAGTTTTTTTTTGTTATACCTAACCAAGCCAACGAACAAACCGACACACAGAATGTCGAAGTGAATGCACATCTAAGTGACACTTAAAATTGACACCACCTAACCTAACATTCGTTTTTTATGTTGTATACGTTTTTTCTCAATTCTAGATTTATTTCTTCTGTATTTGCTATTTGGTTTAATTTTATTATTAATATGAGTTTGTCAGCTGGATTTATAAAAGTTGATTCGAGTGTTTTACCAATTGTTGTAAACCAAGATGATTACCGAGATGATTACTGCATTTTTTAACAATACTCAGTTTATAAAAGACACAAAGGTATGTAACACTTTATTTATAATTTGTTTTAATAGTAGTTACGGTTTATATGGAGCAACACACCTTATAGTAAAAACATTTATCTCAAGTCATTAGGGTTGTCGAACAGTAACAATTTTTCAAAAATAAACATTTTACCTTTCTTTACCCTTTACTTCATTTATATTTATAAGAAAAATATATTTTTCGACGTTTAAAGCTGTGCTGTTGGTATTATTTCTATAATTAGAAGTAAAAGTATAATTATGTATTACCTGAGAAATAGCAAATTTGTTATTGTAGGTATAAAACGAGTTCATACAATTTGCCTACATCAAAAATTAAAACTAAATAACATTAAAACTATTTAGAAGGGTAGTACACATATATTTACTGTAATACTATTTTTATTTGGTCAAGGATTACCTACTTGTTATATGTCTTGTAAATAATTGTAATATAAGTACATTTTTGTGAATGAATGACTACTTTTTGTAAATATACAAACTCTTTTCGTTACAACTATTATATACATGTCTAGTATTTACATGAATAAATCATCACATTATTAAATATTTTATTATTTTTAGATATGCCAAGCAAGTATATGGAGATAATGCCATTTCCCATGAATAACTTGAGAGAACGGAATAATTACACATGAACATAAAGTTTTTTGCATTGTTTCTTCCACATTTGAAGTAAATAATGAAGTCGACAACAAGTTGAATTTGATAATGAATCTTTAGAGGACATTTTAATTTGACATCTCCATTATTGTTAGGGCTTGTGTATATATTTTTTATTATTTGTAAATAAAGTGTTTTTTACTTCGTTTATCTTATTCAGTTATTTTTATTTTTTAATAATAGGTTAATAAATAAAATTTTCACAGATTTTACATTTTTGTTTATATACAATTATTATAATCTCTGAAATATGATAAATTAATCAAAAAAAAAAACGAACAGTTTATTAAATTATTTGGTATTTAGTCTTACAAAATGAGTTCTTTTATAAGTTAAAAATACCACTAATTCACACAGAAATGTAAAAAGTTTATGTAAGCTACACTTTTCTTCTCATAAATATTGATGATTTTAAAAACACTGTTGGGCAATCCTAAATATACCTTCCGTTTATTTCCAATTTTGAGAGTTCATTGGTTTTGAAGATCTTGCTCATTATTAAGTCTCTTTGAATCAGATATTAAAGATGTTTCTTCGGATTCAAACAAAACTTCACTATCTTTCAAACTTTCAGGAGGTTTCGAGGCAGGTTTTTGCAGAAGGGGTTTTAGGATATACACCTTCGAAGTAGGCTCATTTTAAATTAACCGAAGGGGGGCAATGTCAGAAATTGCTGCTGCATCTTGAAGATCCGGTGTATGTTTATTAAATAGAGATGAAAGATGCCTCTAGTAGAAGGTTATTTTCCAGTCAACATTTTTTTTGTTTTCTGTTTTAATTTTTTTGGTAGAATCAGTGTGGTGAATAACAAGAACTGTGGAGACATTTGTGTGGTATTACCCACTTCTTATATGTAAAGGTTTATCCATCATTTAAAAAATGAACAGTTTTCAAAATCATCTGGTATCTAAAAAAAAGAAAAAAACATCGTTACTACAATGGTAGATAATTGAATAATTAAATTACAATAAAACATTTTTATTGTAATAAAGAGAATAGATACAAACCTCAACAAAATAATTTAGCTGTTCCTTGAAGCCTTTATGTGTAATGATAATAATTTTCGTCTTTTCATATTTCTAGTAACACTAATAAATATTTTTAATAATGAATGTAAAATGTAAATCATTATCACATCTTGGAAGGAAACATTTTTTTCATACTCATCATAATATTTATAAAAACATCAAACTTGCGTAATTATCGATTGACAACAAAATTTTCTGATTCACAGATGTGAGATGACAGACACATGCAGTTCTGCCGCATTTCCATTTTCTTTTTTATTAGTTGTCGTTTTTTAAACAAACGAACGTATATTACTTTTCGTATACCGTCTAACTGGCAACGTTGTGTGGCTAGTTCCTATTGGTCTATTCCCGGTGACGTCATATATTTTAAAAAATTAATAAATCGGGCAAATGAATAGATAAAAAAACATTAAATGTAGCTTTATTTTGAACTCTTATTCATAAAAAAAATTTCAAAATTTTTGAACATGCCCCATACAGGATCGAAAAGAAAGTGAACTTGTCACAGGACTATATTCATATAACAACTTATTAACGACTCACTAACAACTATAGTACTGGAAAATTATACTATAGTGATTAAACTTCGGACGAAAAATGGAAAAATTATCCTTCATATGGAAAATAATTATTTGTCTCAATACAAAACCAAACAACACTTTTAAAACATGTTTAAATAATTAAACCTAATTTCGCTTACCTGTGATTAGTGATGGGTAGCTGGGAAATTTCCCCGGGGAATTTCCATTGGGAACGGGAAAATTCCCGGGAATTTCCCCAAACACTAATTCCCGGGAAAAAAACGGGAATGTTTCTATTCAGTGAAATTCATGAAATCTTAGCGAAAAACTTACCGCTCTCAGTGTTACAGAAAAATGAGGAAAAAAATTTTATGGATAAATATTTGGAAAGAAAAGCTTATGCGCTTACATCTATCCATAAAGGATCTTGTCTATTAGATCCAAAGGCGCAAGGTTGCTACTTAATTGCTGAAGAACAACTCGATGCCATTAAACACTTAGTTAGCTTCGCAAGAAGTTCACATTTCCCTGATGATGCCATTTCTCCAAAAAGCTTGTTGAAATTTCCAATTATAGAGCGCACGAATGTATGTGGGCGAAAGATTTTATTTGGACTGCTTCACAGAATGTAACACCTGTCGTTTGGTGGAAGGGAATTATTGGACAGAACAATCAGCTATCAAAAGCGACAGTAAAAATTATTTCTGTTCCTGCTACTTCAGCTTCGACTGAGCGAACTTTTTCCACATTTTCTGCAGTTCAATAAAAGAAATGGAACAAGCTAACAACTCTACGTGCAATAAAATTAACGTACATCGCCCATTACTGGCGAATGCGTAACAAAGACAGCTGTACAGGATGTACCACGTTTTGTCAAGTGTCTGTCTCTTTCCAGTTTGACTCAAGTAACTGAAAGTGTTCAGCATTCCAACATGATAGTGCCGGAAGCAGAGATACCTAGACCTTCAGGCCTTTCAAAATCACCAGTACATTTTGAGCCAGAGACAGAGACGCAGACAGAAACTTCTTCGGAGGACTCTGATTCTGATGAGGAAGACGTGGGCGATGAGGTTAATAGCTCAGAAACTGAAGTTTAGTTTTGTTTTTACATACTTTGAAGGGGTAAGTGGATGAAGGGGTTATTTTATAAGAAATAGTTTTTGAGCAATTAACTTTTTAATTAGATTCATTGGCATTTTTAGTGAAAAATGTCTTTAATATGCGTTATTTTGAGTTAGTAAGTGTGTTTATCAACTAATTAGACGTACAAGACCAGACCAAGATAAGGCACATATGAACTTAATTAATTCTTAATCAACATACAAATAGGATTAAAAATTTTACATAATCCCTTCATCTACTTATCCCTTCCTTTCATAATACTCAACAGTTTTATATTCTACTAGGCAGATATTTTATTTGTGTTTTTTTTTAGTTAAAGGATATCTTTTTTAAATTTGTTACCAAAGAAAACTTTTTTTTTTTAACAGAAAAGGATATTTAGATTTAATTTTTTATTTGAGTTGTTATAGTAAGAAGATATATTTTTTAATTTGTTGCCAAAGAAAATGAGTTGTTTTCAAAAAAAAAATGGATATTTTAATTTAATTTTTATCTTGATTGCGTCTTGCGTAATGAGTAGATGGAATAGAAAATAAGCTGAAATTCACAAAAATGTATCGGGAATTCTTGGGGAAATTCCCGGAGAAATTCCCGGGAATTTCCCGAACACTTGGTTCCCGGAAATTTACCCATCACGACCTGTGATACACAGTGCTTTAAGCTTTACTTCGCAACACGATTAAGTGGCTTCAGGACATAGGGGTCCGAAGGCACGGTCTGTGCTAGAGCGGCCTTTCTGCAAGAGTTTCGGTAATAACCCTTACTCAAAAGTCTCTTCCTCTGTCGACTATTGACCGTATTTAAACCAAAAATCTATGGGACATTATTATTTGATTCAGTTTAGGCCTTTGACTGGAGTAATAACCTAGTTGTTTGGTTTATTGTATTTAGTTAAAACCTTTATTGCATTTAGAATGTTTGTGTATTTAGATTTTTACTGTAATGTCAATTATTACAGAATATTTAATTTGTAACGATTCCCAATGTCATAAATCACAAAATCGTCCAACTCTACTTTTTCTCTTAGTAACTTTTCTATTTTTAAGGATTTCTATGTCCGTAAATATTTAAAGATCCTTGCGAATTAGGCTGTAAGAGTGTATTTAGTAATATAATAAATGAGTAGTCATATAAAATCGATCTATTACTAAGGATGAAACCAGGGCCGCCGAGAGCCAGGTCGGGCCCCGGGACAATTCTCCTGGTCGGGCCCCGCGACAATTTAAAAAAAATGTCTAAAAACAAAGGTCTTTAAGCAAAAATTTCTCCCCATCTTTACTTGGATTTCTCTAAAAAAAAAGTATTCCAGCAAAAACTTTCTCCTCTTTTTTACTGAATCTTTCTAAAAAAAAAGGTCTTCAAGCAGAAACTTCCCCCCTCTTGTGCCGAACTTCTGGAGAAGGAAAAAACGTCAACGCCAAAGTTGCCGGGCCCCCACTTGAGCCCGGGCCCCGGGAATTGGTCCCGGCTACCTCCCCCCCCTCTTGTCGGTCCTGGATGAAACTGAAGTTATTTTTATACTTAAATACGATTAGGACTCGGCTTCGTACCATATTTTTATAAGAAAAATGTGAAATATTGGATACAAAGTATAGCTGCAAAATATTTTCAAAATATAATGAATCCATTATGTTCATATAAGCTTTAAATTTATATAAAACTATAGTTATTCATAAAAATATTAAATCCCGACAGTGACACTAATTTATCTAGATTTTTACCATTATTGTGTTCTAGATATTTCAAGGGATTGTAAATTGTCATCTTCTTTCATTTTTTATTATGTCATTTTTCTATATTATTATTTATTAATGTGTTTTGTAATGATTATATTAAATTTTCCCGCACACAGGCACAATATGCCATATTAGTGTGACGCAATTTTGGTTCTACTGAAAGCTGTTCTAAGACTGAAAGTTAACTTCTAACCAAACTTTTAACGAAAACATCAATGATTTTGACATATGGTTTGTCATACAATGACACCAGAAGATCAGTATAGAATGTATAGAATAAGCGATGCCATTGATTATACAGAGATAGATCAGTGCGCGCCAGCTCACTAATGATAGAAGTGTAACCTCCAATCACGGCAGGCAGATAGTCGATTTACGAGAGTCTCTTTATTTTTCTTGCACGCAAATATAATTAAGCATCCCATCTTTATTTCGAAGGATCCATTGGTTAATATATTGTATACGTTTTTGCAGTTTTTATGTTTCTTCAAAATATCGTTTGCAGGTCATAAAAAATAGTTTAAAGGTATGTAATTGGTTACTAAAAGATTATATCACTTGGTGCATGTTATCTAATTACTTTCGGAATATATTTATAAATGAATAAAAACTATTTAATTTAGGTGAACAAAACCCTTTCGAAAAATCTATTGTCACTGTAAGAGTTAATGGAACCAAAATTACATCATTACTAATTTAGCGTATTGTGTATCAGCAGATGTATGTATGTTTATTTATTTACATATATTTTTTTAAACTTACGTTTTTTACTTAGATATATATATTTTTTAATTAAATAAACATGATTATTATAACTTATTACCAAATAATTTATTGTATTTCAGATCCACTTCAAAATTTATACAATCCCCTCCCTCAAACTATTTACAATAACATCACACCCTCAACACATTCAACTAACTCTAGTCCTCTCTACAATAAAACAAACCGTTACAATTCTGTGGCTTCTGATAGAGATTCGTCTTACTCTTCTACACAGTTACACAATAATCAATCGTCGAGTTATGGATACAGCAGTGTAGCCGGAAGTATATGTGGTGGCGTTTCTGGAACACAATACAGTGAAGTAGCTGGAGACGTTCTCTATCATGAAATACCTAAAAATGTTTACAGTGACGTCACGAATGATGATATTTTGAAACCTCACAGGCCTGCACCTACGAAACCGGGATTGATGCAGCCTTTGAGTATGCAGCAAATACAGAGAAAAATCCAGCAAGGCACGGTAAGATATTTTTAATGTGACAGTATTTTTTGAGAAAAAAAATTGAGGGAAAAGGCATATTAATAGATACCGACTTAAGAACAAAGATAATCCTAGATTAAACTCAATGTTCGGCAAACTACTATTTTAGTTTCTGTATATAAAAAAAAAGTCTGAAAAACAAACGATTGATGTTGAAAAATTAATAAGAATAGTATGTGATAATAGTCAACATTTAAGCAATAAAATAGGCTTAAAACAATTTTGTATTTGGCATGAATTAAATAATGTTCATATATATAATAATATAGGGTTGTCTCAGAAATATTTTCGTTTATTAATCCGTTCGCTGGCACAATATGCATATTCCCGAGAAAGAAGGCAGTTGGCAAACGGTGGTCAACAGTGTTAAGTTTTAGTTGCAATGGAGCAATTTACGGGGCTGCAACATACTTTTTGTATTCGTGTGTTTTATAAAAACAATGATTTTTATATTCTTGTAGGTCGTTTGTACAGAAATCATTATAACATAGCAAGAATGAAAGATATCCCAAGTACAAATTTAATTTCCAGTATTCTTAAACTTTCTTAACCATTATTTAATTAAATTTGCAGTTGTGACATCATTAATTCTTGCTATATCATAGAAATAATATAGAAGACCAATATAAATATAACATTTAAGCAGAAATTGAAACCTACTGTGCATAAAAACGCGTCTCTGCGCCTGACATCGCAAAACAGTGTGCCTAGAAGCATGCGCGCAGTATGCATGACTTCTCCCTGTAGTGTTGCCAAGTATATTAAACATACCTAACGCAAAAGAATTTCAAATTTATTTATTTTTAAATTATATGATTTAAAGAGTTTACATCTACGAAATATTGCCACAAAATAACTTATAAACATTTAAATAATAAACTAACAAAATTTATGTGTAATTACATTTTTTAAAATATATACAAATACGGTATTAATGTTCAACAAGCCATTCACCCACAAATTCAATATTGGCCTGGCAATACCACTTAAATCCCGAGCTTCAAGGCTATATGACGCTGCCCTTACAGGACCGTTTGTGATATTTTGACTTGATTTTGTGGTTTATTATTTAATTACACGGCGAAAGTGGCATTTTATTTTTAGTTTTGGGTAGTACTAAGTTAAATCCTAGGTACAATAAAAGACATTTTTACATTAGCTATTGAAAATGTAATCAATGTATTTAGCAGTTGTTATATTTATTACAAGATTTATGTCTGGAAATCTAAACCTACCTAACAATTATAATTATGTAAATAGAGAGCTGCAAGTGACGAGGAGACATTATCGGTATCTGGCAAAACAATGAATGATTTTTTTGTTAAAAATAGTAAACAGATTATGATCTTTTCATCAAAAATATTCTGACAGTTCTGTTATTTCTGTTTTATTTTAAATGAGATGCCACTTCTATTATTCCTGATACCGATGGAACATGAAATGTTGCTTATTTGGAATATATACCTTTACACAACGATCATGACGCCAGAGACCGTGTTTCAGTCGGGTATAATTTAAAATAATTTGAAAATGAACCCTATTAAATTGTACCTTTACCTAACATTTATGGCATCATTGGCAGAGTTGGCATCGGGTATATTTTCAAATGTAGAAACTAAAAATTAACCCTATTAAACTGTACCTTTACTTAACATTTGTGATGTCACTGGCGGAGTTGGCATGGTATATTTTCAAATGCGGGTTTCAAGGCATTTTAAAACAAACTCGATCCCAACGACGAACTTAGAAAATCTTCTGTCACTCGATATTTTAATCGTTACTTCCTCTTCGCTTTTTGGCTGGCACAACAATTATTTACATTTCTTCATTCCTTACCGCGTGCGATACGCAATACGGTTTAAAGAAATGTTAAAGGACCTACTTTAAAAATGTAGATGTTAATGATTTTCTCATGGATCCCATCTTTAAATCTTGAATAAATGTATATGGAACTATTCCTTTTCTAGCAAAAAGAGAATCATAGAAATCGGGCAACGTGGTAAAGAATTATCGCTCAAATATATTTCAACGAATTGAGAATATCCTCCCATTTTAAAGTATGTTACAAAAAAATTGTTAATAAAGTGCAAAGTAGGGCGTGAACATATATTATAAAGTATATAAAATGGTAGATAACGCCTGTTTAGAAAGTTTTATAAATAAACTGTGGAAATATCGAGAATCTCGTTTTTGAATCGAAGTAAGAATATTCTATGCAATTTAGAATGAAAGCTGATCAAAATGAAACACAACGACATGCTAATGTTATTGACGACTTCAGACGTTTTCTAGTTTTCCGAAAACTAACTGGATAGTTCGAAACACATTTCCGTCGTTAAAGCGCCTCTTGTTCCGAAAAAGGTACACGCCTGTCAACATTCATCGTTCAATAAAAAAAGTGTTAGATACAAAACACTTCGTATTGTAAGGCCAAAATATATTTAAAATTCAAAAAAGTTATACAAACAGATCATTATAAGTAAAATAACTACCAAATTAATGATTTACAAGTTTATTCTTATTATCTATAAAATAGGTTTGCAATGTGCTGCTTTGGAATGTTATCATCGACTAAAAACTTTGTATAAAATTGATCGAAAACAATCTATAAATTGGTTTAGACTATTGCTACGTTTGAAAAGTACCTCACGGAGCGGAGTAGAGCTAGTAGATTTTTTAGTCACGTGATCATCGAGCTTATGTGGAATAAAAGAACGGCTATGGATTTGTTTGTGTTTCCCGTATCCGGTTTTCATTAAAATAACAAACGTAAACCTTTCTTTTAAATCAAATTTGATCTCTCGTCTCGTGGTTTTTGTTGCAAGTTGCCAAGTAAAGTAAATTTTTATTTGTGGTATTTTTCGCTTTTTTGCTTTCACTAGAAAATAAACCTCTCAGAAAAGTACATCTACTTTGTCAATTGTCACAGAAATTCCATTTACTCCGAAAGCTCTAAAATTTAACTCGGAGTAAATAGATCTTACTCGATTTACCAGCTCTGCATTAAAAGACCACGTAGCAGATCCAATCGAGAAGCCGCAGATGTATTAAAAGAACGACTTCGAGTAAAAAGAGCAAAATGAGGTAATTTTCAAACGCAGCATATATAGAATGCTTCTAGTAAGCAGCGACTAACTTTTATTATGGAACCAAAAGACCCTTTTAAAAGGGTTCAAAATTAAAATAAAATATGTACCTACTAAGTAAATGTAGTAGTGTTTTTTAATTTTGAATCTTGAGAGATGCAGCAATCTTTGGATAATTTATATTGAAAATGGTAACATGAAAGGTTTTCTGTCTAATTGTATGTAACGACTCATAGTCTCGGCTGACAAAATGTAAAAAAATATCGAACATAATATTGCTGGGCGAAACGCAACTGCCCCCTATTTTGCACTCCCCAATTTACTTGTAGCAAATGATCCTAAATCAAATAAGATGTCGGATCACAAGCAAAACCTCGTGACTATAGGTCTAATGATTAACTAATTCATATTTTATGCCATATCTTTCTTAATAAGTAATTTCAGAACCATATTTACCTTACTTGAATTTTTTTCAATGTTTTTTAATAAAATCATCTCTAAAAATGTATGACTTCCAACCTGAAACATCGTGTGAACATAAGAATCATTGTTTTCATAAAACGCACGAATACAAAAACACGATGAAGCCCCATAAATCGCTCCATTGCAACTAAAACTTAACACTGTTGACCACCGTTTGCCAACTGCCTCTTTTCTCAGGAATGTGCCTATTGCGCCAGCGGACATATTTATAAACGAAAATATTTCTGAGGCACCCTTTATTAATAGTGACATAGTTTATAATTTATACAAGGGTGTTCATAGGTACAATATGGCATTTAAAACTAATTGATCAAAAATTCTTTTCATTGACTTACTAAATTCTAGCTAGACTATCCTATTTTACTTTTGATAATTTTGAAAAATTGACCTCTTCTGTATCTGTAACGTGTGGAGGCGGTGGGTTACCCCCACGGCACTTAGGCCTCATTAGGTTCATTGTGCATCCTCCTGAGATGATAGGCACCTCCTAGCTCGTGAGCGAGCCTACAGATTTAGACCTCTTCCAATAAAATGGATGTATAATTTTTCAGCTTCAGAAGTTTTAGATTTATTATATGTAGGTTCTATTTATACTGTTATTTTATTTAAATGTTACTGACGTATTGTCAAATCCTATTATAACTCAACCTTCTTTAGAACTGTTAACCAGCCTTGAAATGGAACATCATGAGGTACATTTAAATATGTTTAATGTGACTTTAAAGCCAAAACATCACGTTCTTCTACATTATATAATATGAGAGTTATTTTAAAAACTGGTCTATCTACCTTACTCTCCTGTATGCAATTTGAAGGTAAACAAAGCTTTGAAGTCAACTGCTTTGTATAATAGGTGTCGAAAAAAAAAATGTACTTTTTACTCCAGCGCTAAGACTGAACACTTTGAACTTGTATTACAAAAAATTACATTCTAAACCATAAAAATGAAACAACATAAATATATAATACTAACCATATTAGCCATATTATTTATTATAATCGAATTAACATTAAAAAAAAAATAGTACTTGTGCTAGGAATTCATCAAACTGAGAGAAAATTCTTATACAAAGTCATTCATTATAAGTTACCAACCCTTTATCATAGTTAACATCGAATTTACAGAACAATGTTTTAAAAGTTATGTGACTGAATTGAGTTCCACTAAAATCACAGTGGCCTGTAGATTTCACGGGATACAACAAAAAAAAATCAATTTGTGGAATATCCTGTAGGTATATTGTAAAAATTTTGAAATGATCTTTTTGTCCTGCGTTCAAATATATACAATGTATATACTGTATTCGAATATCTTAGTTAAGTCATAGTTACTGTAAATATGGAACAGTTAACTTAATTAAAGTTATGAAAATGGCAAGTATTATGTTTGATAAGTGACATTTCTTTAATAAAATATTCATATTGGTTTATTGAGTAAATTTGATTCGAAAGAAGTTTGACATTATTTGTTCTTGTCCACCACGACCTTTTCAGATCTATTGTGGGATTCCGTTATTTATGGTCCCACATCTTATTGCAAAAAGTGGCGTATTAGGGAAAGGCAGTGAACAATGCGTACTATGTCCAGGTGGTGGGAGCAGTCGTATGACCTATCAAATTCAAAATAATGTTTCTTGTCGATGGATTTTTACGTTTTTTGGTGGCAATGAAATAATTTGCTTCTAACCGTCTATAAAAATAAAAAATCCCTTTGCAAGCATTTTCTGTCGTACGGTTTTGCTACTATCGATGTAGGGAAATTCCTACACTTACATCAAAACTAGCAAAACCGGATGACAAAAAAATTTATTGTGTTAGGTATTAACACGTATTTTCACAATTAATATTTTAAATAATATTTTATGTTCATAATTGGATATTTTGTTCAAAAAAATTTACTACTTATTTTATGCCAATATTTCGGGAATCACTCGCGTCGGCGCACATGTATGTAGTGATGCCGTGAGACGAGACGAGAGAGAGGCCTCTCTCGTCTCGTAGAGCGAGAGAAAACTGATCTCTCGTCTCGACGAGAAGGCGCTTCTCTCGCTCGAGAGAGCCATTCTCTCGTCTCGTCTTGTCTCGTCTCGTTTCTCTCGTGATAAAAACATCAAATTTAAATTTGGAAAAGATATACTTAGGACGAAACATGAAAAAACTGTAAAATTTTGAAGACAATAACAAATAATTGTTCAAGTAATTTGTCTCATCAGTACCCAAATTGGCAATAAGAAACACTTAGGGAAATTACCTTGGTATCTCTCTGCCTGTCCGTCTATCACAATCGTTTTACTTAGACACTATTTGATCTAAATAATTGAAATTTAAAGTAATCAGTGGCCCAAATTGGGCGTTAACTAAGAATGTATAGCAGAGGCAGAAGTTGGAAAGGCTTTTGGTAGGTAGAGAGGGGGTAAACGTAAAACCACGTCAGATGACTTCGAGAATTTTGCAGTATCTAATGATTACCTGCCAGTGTCATTTCATAGAATAAGAACTGGACAATTGCATGTATTTATGAACTATAAATAATTATTATACATGTATTATAATACCCAAATCATAATTCTACAAAATTTCAACAGCAATTTACAATTTATTAAACTATTTACTCGAAATTGCTATTAACATCTAAAAAATAATTTTGTAAGCCAATGTATTGCGTTCACTTCGGTTAGATCCGCCGCAAACCTGTCAAGTTATGTGTATGAAGTGGGAGAACTAGCAAAAGCCTTTCCAACTTCTGCGCCTGCTATAAATACTTTGTCTTAGAAGTCAGTTGGAAGGGGGTAGGGTTTCATTTGGAAGTTAGAGTTTTACGTGTGATATCAAATGAAAGCATTTTGAATCACGTTAACAATATAATATACGTTCGTTTCTTTTACTTTTTCTATGACAGTTTTTCGAAAAAACACTTAAAAATTTTTGTCTTTCCGATTTATCTCCAAAAGTAACCTCCGAAAAATTTGACTGCATGAAAATTATTACGATTCTGTCCGTTGGTTAGTTTTTTATACAAAGAAATATCGGGTGGCACTTTTGTCTTGGGCGCATTTGACGGGTCGCCATAAAAAAAATCGTGCCGAGATAATTGAGGCGTTCCATACTTAAAACTCACTGTGTATATAGAATAAGTGTTTTATAGTTAATTTTTTGACTGTCTGGAAATCTTATATTTTTAAATTTTAAGTTACGATAAGTAACTGAAAATTTTAAAGAAGTAAAAAGTTAATTACACGAGAGAACTCGAGAGAAACGAGAAATTCTCGTCGAGAGATGACACTCTCTCGTCTCCTCTCGAATCTTTTTTCGAGAGAAAATGTCTCTCTCGTCTCGTACGAGACGAGAGACGAGAATCTCTCGTCTCGCGGCATCACTACATGTATGCATTTGTAAACGGACTTTTTTTACCTTAGAAGCAATCAGTACTGAATGAAGCGCATTATGGTCGAAGTCGAGTTTTGTGGTTTTTTATTTTTTTGTTCTTCGGTGCCGCTACGCCTAGAAAACCTGTGCCCCTCCCCCCAACGACTACGTCAATCTCTATCAATTGCAGGCCATTATTCATAAAACGTCAGAGCATCGTAATCAAATCGGTGAACATGTACAATAAACATCGAGAAAAACATACATACTTGTTATAATAAGTACAGCATAATTTTGTAACTTTGTTTTTTTTGTTTTTGCGAAATTATGACGAATCGGCAGAGTCGAAATGAAAACTTTTTAAAATACATTTTGTTTACCGACAAGTCAACTTTTTAATAAATATTTAAGTATTCATACATGCATACAGTATCCTCAGAAATTGAATGTTTTCACTAGTATTTTAAGAGACCATATTATTGACCCTTTTTCATTGATGGTACACTTAACGGTCAAAAATATTAAGATTTATTTCAAAATTAAGTCATTAGGGTATTATGTAAATAGTGTATTTATTTAATAAGAGAGAACGATACCCCCACAATAGTTTATGCAATACTAAATTGGAACTTTCTATGAGCGCGCACGCTCGCAGGTCACAAAAGAGGTGGTAGTCGTTGTACACAAAACATAGAGATGGATGTTCACTCCTAGTGCCTATAGCCGCCTATAGCTCGTATAATTTTTCCCTAATCTGTATAAAGAGAATGAACGATCTCGGACGAAACAATTTACAAGACGAATGTGGATGAGAGAGTTGGAAAGAGTCGACCTCAGCGAACGAACCTCAATCAGATTGAGGACGTTTTTAGCAAATGCCAGCTTAGGCGTATTCTAATTGAATTAACAACAATATACCTACCTGTATAGTTTAAGTTAAAAAAATTTAGCTCTCAAAATAAATTTCAGTCCTTTTACTGTTGCTATTTGTCCAAATTATCAAATTATAAAAGTCTAACGTTATTTCTGTTGATTTAGTTGAGTGCAGATGCAGAAAGATTAATGACACCAGAATATCGAAGTAACAAAATAAGTCAAGTAAGGGATTGTATACCTGATGTTGATATAGAAGAATGTTTTGCAGTACTGCAATCGACTGGCTGGGATGTTGCGTTTTCTGTAAAGACGTTAAAAATAAATAAATTATTAAGGTAAGACCTATAATTTAAATATTTAATATCTATTAAAACGTAAATCTTCCGTATTTCTTGGCATAAACCAGATCATGCATAATAAGCATTTTAATTAGCCCATATTAAATGATTCTCATTTAAATTGTATTGGTTAGAGTGATGGAGGGGAGGAAAATCACGAATGACAGTAGAAAAATGTTTCCTTCTCAATAAAAAATGACGTTTTGTCATTTGACAGTTCTATATTCTGAGATATTCAGGGTGGATCTTTTTGAAAACAATCATAATACAGGGTACTTTTTTACCAGTTAATTTATATACGCACTTGCACTAACATAAAAAATATTTGTATTTTTTAGATTAGGTGTAGCGGATCATTCACGATGCGAGGCAGCTTTGCAACAAACAAACTGGAATGTTGAATTGGCAGCTTCTTCAATCCTAGATTCTTAAAATGTACCATTAAACTCAAACCTTTCTAAAGACATTTACTAATTAACTTTTTTTTTTCTCTGCGATCCTCATTTAAATTCTACTGTGTCAAGTAAAACAATAATGCTGCTTCTAATTAGAATATTAAACGTGCCAAAGGAAATATCTAGTTGAAATTAATTAGTTCAATTAAAACAATGAGATTTTCAAAAAACTTGGAACATAAGAGACCTATTTCTAAATTAATCTGATTCTAGCTCTGATTGAGTAGGTTTATTTTATGAAATATTTTTACAGAATTTGACAGATGATATTTATTTAAACAAGCTCCTACTGTAATTCTATCTACCTCACCGTATGATTCTTTGAAAATAGGCTCAATTTATAAATACATGGAGAGTCAAAATCGATGGCAATTAAAATTTTAAAACAGTTTAGAATCCAAAATTTTAAATTTTTTCACATTTATATCAGATATGTCAAACAATATTTTCAATATGGTCCATTTTAGGGTTATCATGTATATCAAAAATAATGTTTGCCGTGTTGTCCTCACCTGTAAGTCAAATGACACCATCAATCATCTTTAAGTCACCCTGGAGCGCCACTGTAAATAATAATAATAATAATTCTGTCCCTTCTCCAAACAAGTTGTCTGCTTCTGGGGTTGAAATTCACTCGTAAAAGGGTAAATTAGGGAGACTATTATTATTTATTATACCAAATAGTACAAAAACGTTCCGTTACAAAGTAGCTCTGACTATGCCCAAAATGTACTCAGCTCTTCAGGGTCCCCTAACTATCGAAATTGGCTCGATATTTTGGCCTCTATCCTGCTAACAAAAAACGTCACACGTACATTCGATAATTTTTTAAAAACATGTTTTTTTAAGTTCCCTAGGACCTTAAAACATAAAGGTATGGTGTAATCTCAAATTAGAATTTTGGAGTAATAAGTGATTGCAGTGGGTTGGTAGGGAGGTTACAATACTCATAATATAATCCAATTTTTATTTGTTTCCAAGTTATAGCATAATAAGATAAAAATACATACTTTTAAACTAGGGTATCTCTGATTTCGAAGCCGTTGATGATATTGTTCAACAGCATTTCATTGCAAAAACCATAAACAAACATCATTTTTGCATATTCTAAAATTTTGTGACACTAATCGTACAAACTAGATAATACATTTTCAATTACTGCCGCAATTCAGACATTTTGTAAAAACGGCGTTTTTAAATAGTCTTACTTGAAAACAAGCAAAAATTCAAGTAGAATGTGAAATATAAAAAATTAATTATGTTATAACTTGAAAACAAATTAAATTAGATAAGAACATGAGTTTTTTTTCATATGTAGTTGTATCGTTCCTTCCGACCCGACCTGTATATCCCAAAATATCAATCCGGTTGCCGACTTTCACATTTCTGTTAAATAATTATATATTTGATTCTATACTATATTGGATAACTCAATTATACTAAAAAATACCCTAAAAATTTGGTGGCCAACTTTTACATTTTCGGTTAATTATATCTTTAAATAATTCAGATCAAAGTTTAGGGTTTTGGGGTGGTTTATTACAACTCTATTATTAGTTTAAAAAAAATTTTAAATCAAAAAAATTAAAATTAAGTAAAAATATAATCTATCCGAAATGTTAAAATTGGACACTGGATTGATTTTTGGGGTATATGTGCGATTAATATGAGGAGACGGATCAGAGAGCAATGTTATTTTGTTGTAGACGGTCTGGAGTGAATTAAGAATTAAATCAATGATTAACGATTTAGTGAAAGGTCTATTGACTCTGGATTACCTCGGATGTTGAGAAATTTTGTCGTCGAAACAAGACTGTGAGTTCACTGGCTTTGCCTTTCTTACGGAACCTCAAAAATCCCAGAATAGTATTCCGTACAAAAATTAGAAATTAATTTCCTCGCGCTATGAAATTCTAATCTCTGAATTGAGAAATTTAGTCGTTGAAACAAGACTGTGAGCACACTGGCCTTGCTTCTCTTACGAAACTTCAGAAATCCCAAAACGGTACTCAATGCAAAAATAGGAAAAATTTATTTCTTTTCTAAAATCAGATACGGTAGTCATTGACCAGAAAAAAACAAATAAAATTCGACAACTTTGAATATTTTATACACTTGGTCTCAAACGGTGAAGAAACGGAATACAAAACTCTGTAACTGTTTTAATTTATGTCACGATAACTATCGTCACCAAAAAAGAAAGAATTCGCTAGGGTCTCGGTTTTATACTTTACGATCGAACTGGTTCGGATTACCAGTGGTTTAGAGTAGGAACTACTATCTCCAGATTAACGTTGTTTACTTGTTTAGAGAACAAAAAATCGTCCTTTTGACATCTGCTGAATATGCCTAGATAATTTACATGAATTTGGGCATTTTAAAGCTTAATTCGAATTTTGATAAATAATGGCATATTTTGAACTACGGGGTTTCTCGCAAAATTTTTAAATTTTTAAGAAATAAAAATTTAGGGGGTTCTTGCAAATGTTAACAGGCGAAAATCAGCTTGAACTAAATATTATTATCATTAAACGATAGGAAAATATAGTGACCTCGTCACACTATATCTAAAAAATCATCTGGTGAGGTAGATGCAATTACATACCAACAAGGACACGTTCCAAAACTTGCACGACGCCGAAAGTTGGGATTCACTTGTGTCAAGTGTCTTTTTATTACATTTTTTTTCTCCGGTGTACTTTAATATGTTAACATTTTCTTACACGAAATATAAAGTTAACTATTTTAAAATATTTAGTATTTCTTTATAATAAGTCCTCATTACTTTTGGTGTCCTGTGTGATTTGGTCCAAAGACCACATAAAGTAATATCAATTAATGTATAATTAATTGCCAGAGCTATAATATTGGATTCTGCTCAGAGATTTTGCTAGAAACGAAAGTCTTTAACGAAGTAATATTAAAATGAAACATACCAACCCAATTTTCCGTTGTCGTGTCAATAAGTGTCAGTAAGTGAAGAAAATTCAACTATTGGCTACCGTTAAAAAGTTGATTTACTTCAACCAAGGTTTTGGAACGAGATTTATAAATAACTCAGTTAACTTCATTGAAGATATTTGAATGACATGAACTCGCTCTAGAGTTTAACTAACGGATAATCTGTGGTAAAAAAAATATCTGTCAAATTCTGGGATAATCTTAAAATCTTTTTTTATGAATTAGAATATACTTTTTATTTTAAACCTAGTTTTAAGAAAATGAACTCGTAAAAATAAAGTAAAAAATAACCAAAGAATTCTCTTAATCTTTATCTCAAAATGGTTCTTAAAATAGTGAAGTTGAAGTGTCACATATAACGCCATTTAAAAACAAGTGTAACCTAAAATGTAAGTTTAAGATTTTAACTATGTAATAATATGATAATAACATGGTTAAAAAAAGTAATATAATCTGAAATATTTTTGTTTTTTTTTATAACAAAATAAAAACATCACTTAAGTTCAATACCGTTCTTAATATTATTCCATTAGTGATAACGAACTGTTTATTTTTACCTTTGCTAATAACGATTAATATATAGGGTTGGGCATACTGTTGTTACAGAACACTTAATTTGATGCTAAACTAAAAGTTATATTTAAAAATTGTTTTGGTAAAAGTTTTTGTAGATTTACTGTACTAGTGAATGATACTAATTTTAAGTAGCTATCGTATGAAAATATGAATCTAGACTTTTTAAATAGCCCAGTATTTATATATGTGAAGGGTATTTTGCTTACAATTTGAGAACTATGAAATAAAAGAAAATGAAATGATACAAAACGTTTATTCCTACTTAAGATCTAATTTATGTAAATCTTATAATAAAACCGTTAGGCATTGATCTTTAATAACATATATCATTTTATTAGTTGAACAAACAGGTATCATTTATATTAAAAGTATTGACTGCGTCATATTTCCAATATTATGAACTACAGACTGCGCATTTTTGAAAATTATCATAGATACTGAAAATGCAATGCTCACAAAAATTTTACGGAAACAATTTTTGTTCATTTAGCTTTAGATAGAAATTAGATGCTCAACTCTATATAGTAGGGACAACAAAATTGCTACACATTCAGGCATGTTACAGGGCCTTATAAAAATTCCAATGTATCAGAGAAGAAGTTCCAAATGTTCAATAATAATGACAAAATGAAGTTACCCTTTATTGTAATGCAATTTTGAAAGTCTTGTATTGAAGTGTCCCAAGATAAAAATGTGACCTGAAAATAAGGCAATAGAAAATTAAAATTCAAAAATATGTCATTTTGTATTATGCCATGATGTGATTTAAAACATATATTGAGTATATTTTACAATTAAATAGAATTAAATAGTTGTAGTCATGTGTTATACATTTGAAATAGTTCAAATGTGTCTTCTCATTGTACATTACTTAATGTAAAAAATTATTTAAATATACATTATTTTTTTAACAAAAATTTATTTTATTTCGTCTCTTCCAAGTATTAAAGCAAATGCATCGAATTTAATTATTTCCAAAAATTATGGTAGATTATTTATTATTATTTATGATGTTGTTGGGGAGCATTCCAGAGTTGTCTTAGGACTTTTGACTGTATCTTTTGTAAGTTTGAAAAACTCGCAGCATCAACAAATCCCCAACCTGAGATGTCTATTATACATCTTTCTGTAAATAAGTACCAACTATAGTCTTTTGTTTCATATACGCTAACTCTTTTAATTCCCATCTGACTTAATGACTTTCTGTAGGTGCATTTCCAATAGAAAACCAAGAGAAACGCCACTGGTAAATCAAAATGTTTCTTTTTTTATGAAACGGGTTTTGATCTTGACTCACCATTTTATGTATTGTGATTCTAGCTTCGATTAAAATCGACTCCTTCGATCGTTATGTTCGCTACACACGGTATTTGAATGGAATAATAATTTCACTTCATGGTACTTTCGGTCATATACTTAGAAAATATGTTATGTGAACACGTAAACCGGTATTTTTTGTAACAATGTTTACTCATGTCGATAACGAAACCCATACAGTGTCCGGAAAAAGGTTGCGCTAGACAGGATTTGGAAAAAACTGTAATTTACTGTTTTACCTAGACCCATAAACGAGTCTAGGTAAATTATTGATCAAAATTAATTATTCGAAGTCAATTGTTCGAAAGTCAATTATTCGAAAGATCATTTATTCGAACGTAAATTATTCGAATAGCATTTATTCGAAAATCAATTGTTTGAAATCAGTTATTTGAATAGCAATTTATTCGAATGACAATAATTGTTGAAAAGTTATTATTCGAAGCAAAACTTATATTTTGTTAAAGTTTGTTTAAATTACTATAAGGTAACCGATCACAATTATACTAGGATTTTAAATGAAATGAATATGTGCCGACTTAAGTACAGGAGTCTTATATCAGATTTGAATTTTATCTATAGATTATTAAATGGTCTAGTCATATGCCCGGAACTCTTAGAAATGATTTCTTTCAATATTCCTAATAGAATCCTTAGGCAATTAAATATGTTCCATTTCACAATACAGACTATGGCATGCATTTATTTATTGAAAGAACATTGAGGGTAATCAATCAATTGAATCTTGAGGTTACAGGCATTTTTTTTAATAAATTTAAGGCAATCTGTACGAATGCACTCGAGTAAAAATGAAATATTACAGATGGATTTGCAATACTTAAAATGCATTTATTAATCTAAAACTTATTTGACTGATTTTTAACTTTTTTTTTCTCTTGTATTTTTTAATTTAATTTATAATTTACAATTATCTGTATCATTTATATGTGTTTTGCTTTGTAATGGGGTTGATCCCATTTAAATAAATTAATGACACATCATTAATTACTATAACTATTCCCAGTAATCAGGTCAATATTGGTGCCCTAATAAAGCTGTTTTGAAAAATAATTTCTATTCAAAAATTCAAATCAATTGTAAACAATATCAGTCCAGACTTACGGTCTAGCCACTAAAAAACAACAGTATTAAGGGTATTATAGAAAATGAGTATTAATAAAGTGTCCTAATAAGGATGTTTTGAAAAATAGGTACTTACCAACAAACCACCAAAGGAGAAGTTTTTCTTCAATTCGACTCTGGAGCCACCGATTCCAAAATTGTAATTTTTGGAACACAAAGGTCTCTTAGTATTCTGGAAAAGTCAGATCACTGGTTTATGGACAGAACGTTTAAAACAGTACCCCATCTGTTTGCACAATTATATACACCATCCACGGATTGAATGAAAATTACGCGATTCCGCTACTGTATGCCCTTCTTCCCGATAAAACAGAGAGTACGTATACAAAAATGATACAAGAGATCAAGAACCTTTGTCACACAGCTGCACCAACTACAGTTTTAATAGATTTTGAAAAGGCAGCGATGAACGCATTGTGCATATAAGGATGCTAAATGCCATAGCATTTGTTCCAGTTGAATTTGTTGAATATGTATTTACCAAGTTACAGGACACAGGTCTACTTCCAGATGAAGCCTTACCGGTTATCGATTATTTCGAGGACACATGCATAGGTCGTCCAGACAGAAGAAAGAAGCGACGGACCCTTAAATTTGCTCATATTATGTGGAACTGTTTCGATGCTGCTATCACAGGGTTAGCTAAAACTAATAACGCCGTAGAGGGTTGGCACAGAAGCTTCGAAAGCCAGATATCAGCCTAGCCATCCTAGTATCTGGAAATTTATTGACGCCGTGAAAAGAGAACACTCCTTAAACCATCTAAGAATGGAGCAGAATGTAGCAACGGCACCTCTCCATCAACTTAAAAAAAATATAAGGACTGTACACAAATAATACTAGGTATTGTAGAAACTTTTGACGAAACCACAATTGTAGAATACCTTAGAGGGATAGTGCATAATTTAAGTTATTAGTTTTATATTTATTTCTACCTACTTAAAATTAAACTCTTAAATCCTGTATATATGTTTTATTTTTTAACAATGATTTATTAGTTTAAGAAAATTTGGTAATTTTAAAAATTTCAATTCGAATAACTGCTTTTCGAATAATTTACTTTCGAATAATTGATTTTTCGAACAACTGACTTTCGAATAACTGATTTCGAATAATTGATTTCTAACAATTGCTTTTGAACAATTTACCTGCTACCCTAGTTTATACCGTCAGGATTTCACGCTTATTAAGAAGAATAAGTAAATTATCAAAAATCTACAGGGCGATATTGTTTGTTCCGAAAACTAATTAAAGTGCCCTGTCGGCAAGCCTGTGGAATTACTAGATTAACTGTAGCATGGCCGAAAGACACCTCATAAAATTATCAACTAACTGAAAATTTCATTAAAATCGGTCCTTTTTAGATATTAATAAAAAAAACTAACACTATATCAAAAAGTAAACAAAATGGGCTAGGAAAATTAAAAAAAAAATCTGATGTGTCCAACACATGACTTTCGTATCTAGTTTTAGGCTTTTTCCGGTTATTTTGTACAACCTATTGCAGCACCTCTATAAATATTTAGAGGATAAACTAAATATATACATTTTCCACATACATTTACCTCGAAACATTTTTCTATAGATATTCATTAAAAACTAAAATACTGAAAAATTTAAATTTAGTACTCTTCCTCCAATTTTTCCATTACGGTCCATTTTAGAAAAATCATATATAAACAAAAATTATAGATATCGATATCGCAAACAACTTTTAGTTCAACAATTTTCATAAAAATCAGAATTTTGCACATTTTGTCAAATTTCTCGAATATGGACCATTTCAAGAAATTTTGACATAAAGCAAAAATTATAGATAATAATATTAGAAATAACTTTTATTTGAACAATGTTCTTCTCCAAACATAAATAACAGACATATTCCATAAAATATAAAAACGGCCTCCCATAAAGTACCCCCCAGATGTTCCGACTTTGTTTAAAATCTAACCATTTCACGTCAGGCCGAAATAAAACAAGTTTAAAATTTAATGTATTTTTCTTTATCCGTTTTTGAGTTTTCTTCAAAATTCGAAATTTACACATTTTCTCAAATATCTCGAATACGGTCCATTTTAAAGAAATTATGTATAGAATAAAAATTATAGAGAATTATATTACAAACAACTTTTATTTGAACAATTTTTATAAAAAAATATTTTTTTTTCATTTTGTCAAATTTTTCGATTACGGACCATTTTAGGAAAATTTTGTATAGAACAAAAATTATAGATAATATTAGAAGTAACTTTTATTTAAAGAATTTTCTTCTCCAAACGTAAATAACAGATATATTCCATAAAATATAAAAATGATCACCTATAAAGTACTCCCCCCCCCCCCCCCAGATGTTCCGACTCTGCCCAAAAACTAATCAGTTCAAGGGACGATGGAATATAGTTTAAGCTTAAAATTTGTTGTTTTTCTGTGTATCAGTTCATGAGTTATGGTGGATACAGACACACACACACACACAGACATCATCGCGAAAATAGTCAAAACGGATTCAGGGGACCTCAAAACGTAAAAATCCGTCGAAAACTCGAGGTCGAAAAAATCATGATTCCTATACTTTCCTTATATCTGTATACAGATAGGAAAGTAAAAATAGGTCTCATATGATTGCTGTTGGGAACAAGAGTACGTCCGTCATCAAAGAGATCGAGTGTGTCGTCTTCAATAGTACCACCTCCACTAACTACAATCAACTCACTCCACTGATTTTGCAGTGTATGATATTTGATGACTATATTTTGGAGGATTTGAACGCGACGTCTCTTCACTGTAGCATCACTTTCAGGTTTTATAGATTCGGAACCTGACTGCTCACACTTAAAAATATGAGGTAAAACACCCTTTCTGAGCCTTACGTGTCCGCCCATCATTTTCCACTCCATATAGTTTTCCATGTCAGTTTCAAGCCGGAATAAAAAACTGTTGTTTCCTTCCACCTTTATCTGCTTTAAACATTTTTGTAATGTTTTTTGTAAGACCCAGTATATCAAATATTAATGAATATCTCTAAAACGACTTTTCTTAAGAATTCAATATAATTGAAATATAAGATTAATGAAAGTGTCTTTTACGTAACTAAAAAATAAAAAAAAAAATTGACCGTCTCTGAAACGAGATGTTAATCAAAATGTGCATAATTAACACTCTTGAAGTCTGTCATGTACATAAGCAATGCATTTACCTATTTCAAGATATCTCGAAAACGGTTCTTACTATATTTTTTAAAAACTAATGTAAATCAAGAAGTTATAAAATTTTCTAAAAAACTCTGATTTTTTTTACCGTTTTGGTAAAAAGATTTTTAAAATTAAAATATCTTTAAAGCAGTCGACGCGTAGTGGGGGTACAATGATTACAACTTGGCAGCATTATAATCGCTACACTTAACGCGCAGTAACTCAAATGTTTGTTAGTTTCCTT